GAGTGTTGGTATTTTGGACCACATTCTTTCCTTTTTGTCTGAAATCTCCATTAAAAGTGGGACTTGAATCACAAAAATTACTCTTAGTTTTGTATAAAAAGTTGTCAGTAAGATGGTCAGTAAATATGTTGCGAATAAACTCCTTTCTTCTTGAGAAAAGAAAAGTTCTAAGTATTGCGTGTTTGCTTTATTTGTAGAGCGTAGTCTATATCATTGCAAGCTTGTTCTTTGCAGAAGCCTAGCGTGCACATAAATGGTATTCTTTGAGAGAGAATAAAAGGAGGCAAAGAAAGATGACAGTCTACGAAGATGGCGACGGTGAAACCAAGTCTCATTCCAAGATCCATGTCAATGGTAAGTCCCCCTAGCAAACGTTTATGCAGAAAAGCACTAAAAGCAAACATTTGTGTGAAATGTAACACTAGGTGACGGTGTTATTGTCACACGCCCCAAACAATTACTTAGAAAATGTTTTTATTTTCATTCTATATATCATCGTAATGATAAGATATATAGGCTAAATATCGTTGATTGTTGAAAAATGTAAAAATACCATATTAAAAACTTGACAAAAGTAAACTGGGGTGAATCCACTGAAAATAACACCGAAACATCTTGTGATCAAACGTCACACAGCTATGTTGGTGACTAAATTAAGAACACTATCTAGTAGTCCATTGATTTGTCTCTCTGAAATCTTAAGCTATCATTTTAGCTTTCTATTTTCCAGAAATTCAACACTTTATCAATCAAATCTACAATTGATTAACTGATGTTGTCAAACATTTGTTGATGCAAAAACAGATGATGAAGTGGACGACAACCCAATTGAGCAAGTTAGGCTAACAGTTCCAATCACAGATGACCCATCAGAGCCAACCATAACATTTCGAACATGGGTGCTTGGCCTATTATCATGCACCACTCTTGCTTTTATCAACCAGTTTTTTGGGTACCGCCAAAATCAGCTCTTCGTTTCCTCAGTGTCTGCCCAAATTGTGGTCCTCCCTCTTGGCAAGTTGATGGCTGCGGTCCTTCCAACAACACAATTTTCAGTCCCCTTCACAAAATGGTCTTTCTCATTCAATCCGGGGCCTTTCAGTATGAAGGAGCACGTTTTGATCACCATATTTGCAAACTCTGGATCCAACAGTGTTTATGCAGTTAACATCATCACAATTGTCAAGGCTTACTACCACAGAAGTATTCATGTTATGGCAGCCTTCTTGTTAGCTCACACCACTCAGGTAAAAAATTTACAAGTTGATGCAAGTTGGTTCACAATGCATTAACGGTTGATAGTAATCCACTGCGCGATAGCACTGACACTGCAGTTAAAAAGATTACATGCATTTACATTACCAGTCTTTATTTCTTCGAAACCTGCAATCTTTTATTTGGTTTATTTTGTGGCTCAACATTATTACGGTTGTGACAAAAATAGTCAGTCACATAAATTTTTATGTGTATGAAATCTTTTCAGATGCTTGGATATGGATGGGCTGGATTATTCAGAAGATACCTTGTTGACTCCCCTTACATGTGGTGGCCCAGTAATTTGGTTCAAGTCTCTCTATTCAGGTACTTTAATTCAATTTGTCAAATTGAAACAATTTTAGCTAATTGAGTCCGTAATACCGTACTACATTATAATTACTCAACCCGCACTTAAAGTTCTGTGTTTCCAATTTCCTCTCCACCAATATCGCTTATATTAAAAAGAATAATTCATCAACATTTTCTTTTCTTCATGTTTATTTCTCTTTCTTGTCTTGTATATAATTGTGAAACACCAAATTAATTAATTAATTAGTTAATTTATAATGTGCATTAATGGCAGGGCATTGCATGAGAAGGAAAAGAGACCCAGAGGAGGCCGTACAAAGATGCAGTTCTTCATCATTATTTTCACAAGCAGCTTTGCTTACTACATTATCCCAAGTTTCTTCTTCCCCTCCATAACAGCTCTCTCCTTAGTCTGCTGGATTTGGAAGGACTCAATCACAGCCCAGCAGATTGGTTCAGGGCTCAAGGGCCTTGGAATTGGCTCTTTTGCCATTGATTGGTCCACCATTGCTTCCTTCTTGGGCAGCCCCTTGGCCTATCCAGATGTTGCAGTCATTAACATGTTGATTGGCTTTACTGTGATCTTTTACATTGTTACCCCCATCATCTATTGGACCAATACATATGATGCTAAGAGGTTCCCACTATTTTCCTCTCACACTTTTGACCATGATGGCCAAACCTACAACGTCAGTCGAGTTTTGGATGAGAAAACTTTCGATATGAATTTGAAGGAGTATAGCGGTTATAGTAAACTCTATCTCAGTGCCTACTTTGCCTATGGCTATGGATGGGGCTTTGCCACTCTCACAGCTACTATTTCACATGTTGCACTCTTTTATGGAAAGTAAGTTTTTCCGGTACTGGCCTACTACATTCATTCCCGAATCCTGAATCTCGAGTCCCAAGTCCTATGTTAAACGTATGTACATTAGTATCAAGTGACCGAAATCAAAACCTAATCCAACACCGGACTTGATATATAATAGAATGAATCTTATTTAAGTATGACACAATCTAATTTCCTAAACTCTGCGATGTTTTCTTCCTCTTTGTGTGACATCATGCATCATGAACAGAGAAATATGGCAACTGTGGAAGAAGACGACTGGTGCAATGAAGAATCAGCTTGGAGACATCCACATGAGAATAATGAAGAGGAACTATGAATCAGTCCCTGAATGGTGGTTCCAAACCATCCTTGTTTTGATGGTTGCTCTTGCCATCTTTACTTGTGAAGGTTTCGGCAAACAGCTCCAACTTCCATGGTGGGGAGTTTTACTAGCTTGTGCCATTGCACTATCTTTCACCTTACCCATCGGGGTTATTGCTGCCACAACAAACACGGTATGATTTTGGTCATTTCATTTATATACAATCGTATCGTACGTACTCTTTTGTTAGATTGAAAACACATACGTACATACATGAATACGCCTACGAATATCTACTATATGTTCAGTATTTGGCATAATTCTGTTTCAAAGACTCGGTAGTAATTTTTCATTTTTCATTTCAACATTTATTGTGCAGCAACCAGGCCTCAACATAATTACAGAGCTAATTATCGGGTATATGTACCCAGGGAAGCCTCTTGCTAATGTGGCTTTCAAGACCTATGGATATATCAGCATGTCACAAGCACTCATGTTTCTTGGTGACTTTAAATTAGGTCACTATATGAAGATCCCTCCTAAGGACATGTTTTTTGTGCAGGTAATTATCAAGAAAACTCCATTTGTCACCATTTGTTTCAGTTGTTTTTCTTATGTCCGATATAATGGAACATACACATGCAATTTCCCTTTTTGTATGTTCAGTTAGCTGGAACACTGGCAGCGACAAGTGCCTACTTTGCCACATCTTGGTGGCTTCTGACAACTGTCGAGAACATCTGCAATCCGGCAAAGTTGCCAGAGGGGAGTCCATGGACATGTCCTGGTGATGATGTGTTCTACAATGCTTCAATCATATGGGGAGTCATAGGGCCACTCAGAATGTTCACTAGCAAAGGAAACTACCCAGAGTTGAACTGGTTCTTCCTCATCGGCCTTTTGTCACCCATTCCCGGTTGGCTGCTCCATAAAAAATTCCCCAACAAAAAGTGGATTAGGCACATAAATATGCCTGTAATCCTTGGAGCAACAAGTTTAATGCCACCAGCAAAAGCCGTAAATTTTTCGTCATGGTTCGCAGTTGGAATTTTCTTCAACTTCTTTGTTTACAGAAGGTACAAGGAGTGGTGGGCTAGGCATAACTATATCCTATCAGCTGCTTTGGATGCTGGAGTGGCCTTTACTGCTGTTATCCTATATTTCGCCCTCCAATCCAAGAATATTATGGGACCAAAGTGGTGGGGTCTGGACCAAGATGATCATTGTCCATTGGCTAAGTGCCCCACAGCACCAGGGGTAGTGGCCAAAGGGTGTCCAGTTTTTTGAGATTCGTCAAAATCCTCTTTGAATGTATGCCCATTTAATTTTGCATATCTTAGCTGAGTTTTCTAGTTTCGATGATGATGAAGAAGATGTAGCAGCATAGTTATTTAGTTTGAATAAATTAAAATTCAGATTTTAGTCTTGTGCAATTAAATAGTTTGTTTATTTTTCATAATTTGGAACCAGATATGCAAGCATGCTTTGAAACTGAAATATGTTGCATATAATCTAAAATTCAATGTCTTTGAAAATGATGTTAGTTGAACTATATAATGTTCTTCACTAGGAGTCTAGATCCTCCTACCAGTAATCCCTGCAGGAACAAGAACCATCTTTGAAACAATGGAAGCGGTTCCGGTCACGCACGACTATCTCTCTATTAACAATTGCTGATATAAGTTTGAAAGCAGCATGGCAGTCCTCACAAACACGAAGATTCTTCAAAATGCGAATTGGTGTTCCAGGTCCCGTGTTCATCAACCCAAAAACCAGTGCTAATTTCTCGCTATGGCGATACAGAAATTTTTCCTTCTGATCCTCTTCCATGTCTAGCAGAACAACTGAGGTGTTAGGCACATAACCCTTCAGCTTCATTTTTTCAACTAGTTTCTCCCACATTTGGAAGATCTCCTGAGCTTGAGGATGGGCTTCATCCCCAGCAACAAACTCATGAATCACCCCATCTACTGTGATTGAACTCCACCCAGGTGTCTTCTTCACCCCTCGATCCCTCATTAGCTTTCTCACTCGCGCTGTGTCTTCCCACCTTTGTGCTTCTGCATAAATGTTTGACAAAACCACATAGTATCCATCATTAAGTGGATCTAATTCAGAAAGGTGCTTTGTTGCTTCTTCAGCCAGTTCAACGTTTCTGTGAACTTTGCATCCACCAAGCAGAGCTCCCCATACAATGCTATTCGGCTTGATAGGCATGTTAGTAATAAACTCATAAGCCTCTTGAAGGAGCCCTGCCCTACTCAAAAGATCAACCATACAACCATAATGCTCAATTCGAGGAACTATACCATAATCATTAGTCATGCTGGTGAAGAATTCACGACCTTGATCCACAAACCCAATGTGGCTACAAGCATGCAAGAGTCCAACAAAGGTTACATCATTCGGATCCATGCCTATCTGAATCATCCTAGAGAAAAGTCTCAAAGCTTCCTCAGCTTGTCCATGCATGGCAAGCCCTGCAATCATAGCTGACCATGACACAACCGTTCGTTCTTTCATCCCATCGAAAACTGTACAGGCATCCTCCAAGCATCCACATTTGACATACATCTCAATCAAAGTGTTGGAAATACGAGCATTTCTGCTAAACCCGCTTTGGTTTGAGTACTCATGAATTCTCCTACCCAAACCCAAGTCACCCAAATCAGCACAAGCTGCAAGAACAGCCACTACAGTCACCTCATTTGGCCTCACCCCAGCCTCTTCCATCTCCAAAAATAGACTAATAGCCTCCTTAGGCTTCCCGCATTGGACAAACCCTGAAATCATCAAAGTCCATGACCTCACACTTCTTTCGGGCATCCGTGAAAACAAATCATAGGCTTCCTTAATATCACCCCTCTTTACCAACTGGGTCATCATTATATTCCATGTCACGACATCTCGTTGCGACATTTTATCAAACAACAACCGAGCGTCCCGCACTTCACCACACAAAGCATACAAATTCAAGATCATATTCATCAAAAACAAATTCGACTGAAACCCAAGTTTCTCCACATAACCATGCAAAACTCTACCATTGGAAACATCCAACAAACGCGTACACGCCTTTAGAACAAAAGACAGAGTGAAACTATCAGGCAAAACATGAAAACTCTGCAACTGATAAAAAAGCATAACTGCATCAATGGGATCTTTGCCTTCGGCGAAGGCTTTCAAGCACGAATTCCACTCCAAAATCTCAGGGTTTTCGAGGTGTTTGAAGATTTTCTGAGCGTAAGAGAAACTGGGATTGAGAGAGCAGACGAAGGCGATTCGAGTGAGAGGGAGGGAAGTGAGAGGAGTGTTGGTTTTGATGAGGTGGGCATGGAGTTGTTTGAGCTCTAATGGGGAGCTGAAGTTGTGGAGAAGATGGGTTGTGAGGTTTTGTGAATTGGGTCTGTGAGTGTGAGAGTCTGTGTGGTTCAGAGGAGGGAGATGGAGGGAAGTCACAGTTGAAAGCATTTCAACTGTTGAAGGTCGTTGAACTCAACGGTTAAGTTCTTTTCACTTCTAAAGCTTCGACCTTTGTGTATGTTTGTGTGGGAGCATATATATTTCGGCGAATAATGAGCGCCACATGTGGAAAAGAGAAATTTCTTAGGTGAATTACTCTAATTAAATTCTATTGAATAGCTCCATAAATCAAGGGTCCGATTCCCAACAAATCTCTTTTGATCAATTCTTATTATCTTTTTGAGAAAAAAAAACAATCCTAATTAAATAAAGAAAATTCTCCAAGCAACACACCTTCATGTGGGGCTTGAACACAAGGACAACCTCTTGATGAAAAACGGAATACATGAAAAATTATGTATATAAAAACATAAGATCTCATTTGCTTAGATTATGTACATAAAAAAAGTATTCGTTTTCTACCTTCCTAACAAAATCCCTTTCACATTATGGTTTTCATGTAGATTTATTTGGCCATAAAACCCAGGTATAATCGCGTTCAGATTGTTGAACGACAAGCAACTTAACATTGTGCCAACAACACATCATGGCATTGGCATCAAATACCACGCCTTTCACTAGCTGTTCAGTCAATCACAAATTTGATACAAAGAAAATATAACATTAGGCTCAAAAATGACATTTTGTTCCGATTCTACAAACATAAACTCCATTTTAAGTGATCAAGAAAAGAACATACTGAAACTCTTTAGTATCAAACATTAAAGTATACGAAAAGATAACTGATATCCGGTTGTTTACATCTCGAAAGTTTCTTACAAACAATAAACCAAGATTACGGTCAATCTGTCTGATTTCTCTGATAAGTCATCCCTTGTCATCTGAAACCCAGCATGAGAAACTGAGTTGAGCATGAAGCCATTTGTAATATTTGAAGAGTAGCACAAATGCTGACAGCAATGCGAAGTTTACTTGAACAGTTCTGGGTTCAGCCAATCCCTGTACATTATATTTCCAGTCAACTACAATTTACTTATCAATATGAAAATTGGTTTAAAATAAAAGTATAATGATGCATCGCACTCACTTGCTAATGTCATCAAGGTGATCATCAAAATCTACAACATCCTGCCATTTTTCAGTTGAGATATAATCCAGTAGAACAACATTTGCTGATGGCTCTTTGATGGTTAACTGATTTCCATCAGAGCCGATTAATTTCCAAACCCTAGATGCATCCTTCGTGTAAAGCTGAATGTTTTTTTAAACGTTGAGAAAGATTAGGAAGGAGAATTTCCAGGACAAATTACACTGAAATAAACAACCACATAATACGAGATTACACCAGGGGAGAAAGACTACCTATCCAAGCCCATTTGAACTTTATAAATTTGCTGAAAAAATAATGATTTCAAACTTGATGTTTTTGTTTGCCAAATAACATTAATTAGGTATTAACCAATTCCTTCAACAACTCTATTGAAATCCTTTCCGAACATTGTAAGGATACTGTAAGATGTTGAAAAGAAGCTCTTCAAGATACACTGAACTGAAATTCTATTCAAAATTCTGACAGCTTTTAGGGAAAGGAAAAACCATGGAAAACATTAGTTTCCCACAAATAATGTAGAGCATAGATTAGCATTTAGAAAAGTTTGATGTTTGTGCATATCCGCAGAAAGTAGGTGGATTCTGGCATTGCCAATTTCGACAAATAGCTCATGAAGCGGAAGAAACGCATGTATTGTTAATCCACACCAATAACTCCAATCTCCCCAAAGCAGTATTGTTAATTTATAGTTACTAGAAAAGCGAAGAAACACGTACCACAAACACATCCTCTCTCATTTTGTTTAACTAATTACCATACTACAAGCAGTTCATACACTAAAGATACTCATACACCCATCATATAATATAATTAATATAATTAGACAAAGAAAACGATCAATGCTTCTTTCATTAAGAAAAAGATCAATGCTTCTTCATACCAGAAAAAAAAGAAAAAGAAAAAAAAGAACATATTAACCCCAAGAAAAGAAAAAAGAGTTAAAGGTACGCACCTGCATTACGGGGCTCCGGTCCTTAGTTCTTGTCAAAGCTTCAAGCTTCCTGTTGTCTAACTGAAAATGGATGAAAATACATACAATAAAATTCCATATCAAACAAGCAGCAAACAAACTACAAAAACAGAGGTTCATGGACGAACGAATCACACACCAAAAGAATTGCGGCTTGAGGAAGGTAGCGATAGATGTGATCGCCGATGTTCTTGGCAATGCCGCCGAGCTCGTGATCGTCAAACCTCTCGTTGGCATGAAAATAGCCCACAATGCTCACTCCTTTAGCAGCATAGTGCTCCTCTATCTGACCAAATTCAATCACAACAACAAAAATTAAATCTCTTTTCAAGAAATTCGAACTCTGTTTGTTTCGTGGGAAAATTCAATTTAAGATTTTGAAACCCTAGAAGGAGAAGTGTGATAAGAGAGAAAGAAGGAGGAGGGTATGTGGGAATCACCAGGATGAGGGAGATCTCGAGCTGGGGAAGGAGGCCGATTTGGGAGTGGAAGAGAGGGACGGAGTCCGTTATCTCGACGGCGTCGTTTTGGGAGGAGACGCGGCCGAGGAGGACGGCGTTGACGGCGGAGCTCTTGTGCTTGAGAGCGTGCAGAACCAGCTTTATGTAGGCATTCTGTGCGATCTCGTATCGTAACTCGCCACCCATCACTCACTGAGTTGGACTTCAGTTGCTGAATCGCCGGCTCAACAGAAAGTGAGAGAGAGACTGAGAAAGCAGAGCAGAGAGTCCAATTTTTCAGTGTTTTTTTTTTTTGGAAGTTTGGGGATCCAGACGATGTTCCACGAATATTATTATGTAATGCTTCTAATATATCTCTCTCTTACGCGGTGTCTTCCTTTTTTTTATCTTTTTTTTTTTTTTTTGGTGGTTTCATTTTTGCTTAGATGTCATTAATTTTTGTTCTAGGGATGTTTTCTGTATCATATTAATTATATGGTCATAAAACAAAATACCAACGAATATTATTATGTAATGCTTCTAATAAATCTCTCTCTTACGCGGTGTCTTCCTTTTTTTTATCTTTTTTTTTTTTTTTGGTGGTTTCATTTTTGCTTAGATGTCATTAATTTTTGTTCTAGGGATGTTTTCTGTATCATATTAATTATATGGTCATAAAACAAAATACCAAGATCAATAACTAATGCATCAACCAGTTAATTATTGGTATTTCTCTTCCAAATGGTTTAAGTAACCTCAAATTCGAATTCCTATAAATAATAAATAAACAAAAAGTAATGAAAATATTATGTTATTTTATGATCACGTGATATATACTATAGGAAGAGAGATGTATGCACTCGGAATAAGCAAGTCACTCTCAACACCACGAAAAAAAAAATTCATATGCTAATCATTTGAGTTACAATCCTCTACACTTTTTAAAGAAAGTTTAATTCAGATTCCTTAATTCAATTTCCTCTCCCAAACAATTGCGCATTACCCTCTCACGGCATATTAGTGAATCGCAAATGGTTGCTATTTAAAAATTTAAAATCACAAATCACATGCAACGAGAAACAACTCGAGCAATTCGCATTGCCCAAATTTGCTCAAAAATTCTCTAAATTGCTTGTTTGAGAAAAGAGACAAAGGCTATCAACTTGCTTGGAGACGTAGCTTAAAGCATCAAAGTTTATATTGGCAGACGGAAATTATTCAACGAAGGGAAAGACGGCCCAATTCACGCAAATTCGGCTGCATTTAATCCTCTTTTTCTTGTCTTTTTTGAATTTCGTCCTCAAGTTGTGCGACACTTTTCACGTACAAAACTGAGCATGCCGAGCATTCATCACAACAATTTTTGCCGCATTTAGGCCAAAAAGAAGGGGGGAAATGATATAACAAGGGGCATTGCTGCAAAACCTCCGAAATGTGTGCCAGAATCATTTGGGAGGAGGGAGCCTTCGCTTCTCCAAAGTTGAAAAACTTTTAGAAAAAAACAGGAGGTACTTAAGCAATTTCTAAAATACAATCACGGCCAGTGTGTCAACTTGAACACAGAAGGCCTCAATCACCCAAAAGACACCAAAAAAAACCTAGGAAAATATGTCAAAGTCGTATTTGCACTTCACAAAATCGCCGTCAACAGCCAAACTGGAAAAATAGCCTTAAAGGGTACATCTTACATAATTTATATATCGTTTATAGATTCACTGATGAAAGAATATACGGGGATAAGAAACTGGTAAACATGATTTCAGCAGAAAGCAGCACATGAATTAAAACAGTTATATAATGACTGACTGACAACGAAATTCAAGGATAGAGATTGTTTCCACTTTGTGCCATGCTATTTTGCAGAGCGTTTAATTTATCAATAAAAACCACCTGTATTCCCAGAGTCCCATCCAAATTAAACTTGGTTAAGAGCAAGCATCCGGGTAATTTATCTATTCTTCACAACTAATAGAAGAACCTTAACAGAAACACAAGTAAAAGTGCCAATGCCACAATGGTCATTGCTAGAGCTCTCAATTTATATCAATTCCTTGTTATCTTTTTAACTAATATTTCAAACTAAAAGACATTTCACTATGAACTCCATCATTTCGGACTAACTAGCAAAAGAAGACATTCCAACATGCACCAACATAAAACTATAACACGACCAACTGCTAATGTAAACATCACAAGCTAGGCTAAGCAGATAATTAAATCATTAGAACATCTATCTAGATCACTAAGTAGATTGTAATAAACACCATAATAAGATGCTACAGTCTACAACATACTAAATTGAAATGAAACTACAAGACATCCATAGCAGACACCAAGTGCTTCAATCTTCAAAGTTTTTCTAAACCATACAACAGAGAAGTAGTCTAATAAACTCTTCAGACCTTAAAAGCTTCCCATACTGCAATCATAGGAAATCTCTAGTAGTTCCAAGAAGTGCCTAAATGAGTGCCAGAAACAAATCTAAGCAACCTGTGCCAGACTTCTATGGCAAAGCTTAAGCAACTGCATCGAAAATCCTTCATTACTATCTTGCATAGGGAATGTACTGACTAGCGCCTTCTATATCTATCTTGCATAGGGATGGTACCGACTACTGCTACTATAGCCCCCCCTTCCATACGGTCCACCTGCTCCGCCATAAGTAGCACCAGGACCAGAGTCATATCCACCACCATAGTTTGAACTCCCGTAACTTCCATAGCCTTCACCACCTCGGCCATAACCACCTAAACCACTTGCACCATAACCCCCACCAAAGCCACCACCATAGGGTCCAAAGCGACTACTATAACCAAGGGAAGATTCACCTCGATAGCCACCTAAGCTACTGCTGCCAAAACCCCCATAACCACCGCCAAATTCTCCACTATCGCTACCATAACCATAACCATAACCACCACCATATCTACCACCAAGACCACCTGGTGTCCTATAAGGGCCAGGGGCAAACCCTCCATCAAAACCACCATAAGAACTGCCATATGCACCAAAGCCATCATTGAAAGAACGAGCCCTAGAATTGCTACCATATGCAGGAGCAGGTGATGGATTTGAGGCTTTCTTTGGTTCAGCTTTCTTGATCTCCACCTACAACAAAGCAACTTAGTTAACCTAGTTTATTTCGAAATGGAGCTACTGGGATCACCCTTTCCCGAGAAGATCTATACCTGTAACAACCTCCACCTAAAATTAGTTCCAAATCACTAAAGTGAATTATTAGAATAACTAATGAAAATGAAAGATAACAACCCTTTAATGCATAGATTTAACAAAACAGGAGAATGCAACAATTGATGCTCCATGTCAAAAAGGAATCTGTGTACATGCTGGTTACCCAGAGACCATCTAAACAAGCTCACCTGGGTACCCGCCATATCAATCATGTTTCCTTTAGATAATAACTCATCTACAACTTCCTCACTGTCAAAAATTACAAATCCAAAGCCTCGAGAACGATTGGTCTCATGGTCTCGTATGATCTGGTGTTCTACCACTTTCCCATACTTTGAGAAGAAGCTTTTCATCTCCTCTGCACAAATTCACCCAGCCAAGTAAAAAGAAAATAACATGATACCGTAAACATGCTTTATTAAGAGTTGGAAAACATTTCAGTGTAAAACTAAAAGTTTAACATAAAATGAGAATAAGATATTAGAGCATACCCTCAATGACTGATGATGGGATTCCACCAACAAATATCTTCTTTGTCTTAAAATCCTTTGATTGCCCTTGTCCTTTTGGAATTGTTCTCTTGATCTCAACCTGCTCAAATTTCATTCAGTATATAGTAATACCGCTAAAAGAAATAATAAGTTGCCTTTGACTAAGCATGTAGTTTCTGACATCACTATCAATTGGGTAAACATCTTATATAAAATATAAAGCCCCAAAACGAGTAATAGCATCTATCTATATTGAGCAAGTTCGTTCATAATAAACCACAGAAAGACAGTCATAAAGAGCTGCTTTACCTGCTTGCCATTGATAACATGAGTTTCCTCAATAACTGTGTCAACAACTGATGGATCGGCATAGGTAATAAAACCGAAACCCCTTGGCGTACCCGTGAAGCGATCTTTCATTATCACTGAGTCCACTATCTCTCCATATTTCCCGAAGTGCTTAGTAAATGTAGCTATTGATTTGATTTGCACAAGCAATTAAAACAAAATAGAACGCAATACATCAGTAACAAAACCATACCCACCAACCAAAATCCCATATCTCAGAAGATATGGCAAATAATAATTTCAATCCCATCTAAAGTCCAATAGAAAGACAAAAAGTAGCCATAAGTAGTCCATATAACTCACTAGTTTTCATGCTACACATTTTCACCATATGACTAGAATTTAAATTTCTTTCTTTTCCCCAAAAAAAAATAACTAGCTAAATAACTTTTCTGAACGCAATGGAAATGAAAAAAAAAATGTAGAATTTTCTACTTCAGAAAAAGAGCACTCACCATATGTAGTGTCTTTTGCCAATCCACCAATGAAGATCTTTCTGCACATTTCAAATCAAATATCACAACCAATTAGAAGAAGAAAAAAAGTGAGGAAACGCAGAGAGGATCTTACAAAGGATGCATCCATGCTTGAATAACGAGAAAATGAAGGAAACAAAAGGAAACCGAGCTAGAAAAGATAAAGATACAAAATTTTCACTTCTATTTTCTCGGATATATCCAAATTTCTCGAGAACCAAAAAGAAAACAGCTAATTTTGGTGTGTTAGAAGAAAGGAAGACAGAAAGAGAGAGAGGTAGAGAGAGGTAGAGAGAGAGGAGACAAACCCAGGGCTGGCGCCATCGCCTGTGTGAGGATGACCGGCATTCGACTTCGAACCCATTGCGTTTAATATCGGATTTTCTCGGGAAAATTTGAGAAACGGAAAGTAATGAGCCGGGAGATGCGAGCGAGCGAGAGAATACAGATTAGGGTTTTGAACTTTTGAGTGGAGAATATTATTACATCATATAAATAATATATATGTACAAATATTGTATACATCAGAAATTACAAATTTGCCCCTCATGAAAAGGAAAAATACTACGTACACCCACCACCACGCGGATATGGCTTTCCGTTTATGTCCATCGCCTTTTCTGTTCATGGTGAAAATACCAAATATATGGTCACACGCCGCTCTAGACTATACTGTATAAAGTAGGGTTTTGGGACTCCGTTTCTAGGAAGCACTCATGGTTACGAGCATTTTTATTAGAAGTTGCACATAAAAGCGATACTAAAAATGCTTCTTAAAAAGTCACTTCATGATTCAAAACTATCTTTAAGTCTGTTTTTTTTGTCAAACGCTGTCATGAGCACTTTTAACGATTCTAGAAGTAGTTTTGAATGATTATCATAAGCCATTGAAACATTTTCCTTTTTTAGCTTTGTCCCTACAACGTTAAAGACTTTTTAACTTTTTTTTTCTTCAATATTTCAACTTATGATGGAAGTCTGTTTTGTTGTAATGATAATGAATCTTTGCATGTACTTTGTTTTTTTGTAGTAATTAGAGAAAAGTTTATGTCATTATGTATTCAAATTGTCTTTAATACTGAGAGGAAAGAGGTGTGGTCTTGGTACATTGAGTAGTCAAGGCTTAATTGCTTTAATTGTCGTGTATTGAATAAACAAAGTCGCATTTTATGAAAACATGTGATCTTGTGAGATTTGATCCAAAAAAATATTGTATGAAACTGTCTAAACATATGCTTGAGAGTTGTACCTTACTTGTGTGTTAAGTTTGCTTGGAAAACCTTTCCTTTATTGAATTTTGGCAATTACACATTATTTAATATGATAAAGCATGTAATTTCTTCATAGCCAAAACAAACAAAGATTAATGTCTCCCTCTAATCTAGAGTTGTGCCTTGTGTCTTAAGTCAATCTATTTGTTTATCTACCAATTTGGTAGGTTATTAATCTAGGGTGAATTAGTCAAGATCCATCCTATATGTACTTAGCAAAAAGAAACATACCAACTTTTATATGGAGTGCTGTGACAGATAGAAAACAATTTTCAATCATGTATCCCATTGAAAATGATGGCCACACACGCTCATGATAAAACAAAGTTAAGCGTTTGGTTTGCGGAAATTAATTCATGAGACATCAATCCCCATTTATTTTTTTAAAGAATGAGAAATGTCATTTATAATGTTTACTAATATTAAGAGCATAAGTTGAGGACAATATCAATGTTGCTAATAGTGGGATATGGGTATGTCCCTTTGAAATCATAACATGGTATCAAAGCGGGCCAGTTGACTAGGCCTGAATCGAATCTGAATCCCCGAATGAACCTTGAATTGAAACCCCGAATGGAAAAAAAAAAGAAGTACCTGCTTGATAGTCGAAATTACGAAATGGAAAAAACTGAAGATTGTTTCATCTGATAGTGTTTAGCAACCAATTCTCAAATAGGTTTGGTGTTGTGTGATAGTGTATTGGGGTTTATCATGTGCATTTTTTGTAGTTAAATATGGTGTACTTAGTCAATTTTACATTTTGATTTAAATATTAGGATGTACTTATATCATAGGGTGTAATTAATTAATTTTAAGGTTCGTTTACCAACATTCTTAGGAAGTATCATTTTACATTATTTGCAATATTTGTATGTGCAATAACAGGAAACAAAATTCGTTTGGTTTTTCAATTACATTCTTATTATAAATGTGCAAGTAACGTTTGCATTGATATCTATAAATATCATTGTAATTTGTATTTGTTATTGGGGGCAAATAAGTCATAACTTAATTAACGCTAGCCTTTTTCATAGGAAACAAAGCGAAATCTAAACTGGATGGAGGCTTCATTTCCAATCATTTTCCCACACATCACGAAACCGTAACATGAAAAATGAAATAATTTTTCATTTGCACAAATATTTTCGAGCAAACCAAACAGCTCCTTAAAGTAGAGTGAAAAAATGTGGATAATAATGTGGTGCACTAGACCAACATTCTCAACGAAAAGGCCATATTAGAGAGACTATCGACCAACTTGTGTATTATCTCTCTATTAAAGGTGGAGTACTGCCCACCAATACAATGGGTCTCACTTCTATTAGAAAAATAATATACAAATTGGTCTTCCTAACATTTTCCATAAAAAATATTTCAATTATATTTGCTCTTGAAAAACCTTATTGGAAACCTTTTTTTTATTGAAAAAAACCCTAAAGCCTATGAATCCATAAAAGGAAACAAATTACCTATTTAACAAATAAAATTGCAAAATTATTTAACAAATAAAATTACAAAATTATTCTAAAGTTACTTTAATCTCCAATAAAATATGAAAATGACCTATTTGTGCTGCTATTTTATTCTCTAATTGATTCTATTTTATTCTACAACATGATGTTCTTGGGAAATAAAAGTGATGATTTATTTTTTATTTTAATTTTTAGAAATAATAAGATTGAAAGCTAGAATTTAATCTATCCCACTTGAGTTAGAGGTAATTGTTAGAACTAGATTTGTAGGAAAGAAAAAAAAAACTATTTAACCAAAACCAAATGCAGTATTTGAGTAGACACGCTAAGCATTTTAGTTGTTCATAGGTGTAATAGCAACTGTAAACTATATTAGCCATTCATTACGCGATTCATAATAATCAACGGTCGTGAATTCTCACATACATTGTGACGTGTAAATATAAACCGTTAGGAAAATTCAACTAATTAATTAATAGTCATTTATATGATATCAAATGTAGAAGTCACAACAGAAAGTATCCTTTCATGTAATTACCCCTTCATCGAACGTGGTCTATTTTTCTCACTAGCCTTTTCGGACCTCCCCAAAAATTTCCAATTACATCTAAAACCTTAGGAAAAAAGTAAACACAAATCTCTATCTCTCTCTCTCTGAAGTCGCTCTCTGCTGTCACTGTCTTTCTCTCTCTATTTTCTTACCTTTTTGCCCTTTTTGCCCTTCAATCCCAGAAACAAACACAAATCCAAATCCCGTATCTCCCAAGGTTCCATGTAGGCTTGCCCACAGCCCAGCCCCATCATAAAATTTCCAAGTCCTTCACACACCAATATATGCTCACCAATATAAATAGAGGGCCCTTTTTTTATTGGGCTGCCTCTCTCTCTCTCTCTCTCTCCCCCAAAGTCTCAATACACAAGACACAAAAAACACTCTTTTCTCTCTTTCTCTGTCTCAAACATAACATGAGCGGCGGTGGGGAGACTAGGGTTTCAATCCCAAGCAATGTAAAGGAGACGATCCAGGACATCAGAGAGATCACCAAGAAGCAACACAGCGACGATGAAATCTACGCTGTGCTCAAGGAGTGCTCTATGGATCCCAACGAAACCGCTCAAAAGCTCTTGTATTTAGGTAAACGGATATATTTTCTGCATGTCAGTATGTGTTTGCATTAGGGTTTCGATTGATGGGTGTTTGTGTTGTGTGTTCTTGGTGGGGAGTTTTGTGGGGTTTGTTTTATTTTGGCCATGTGATCGGTGGTTTCTTCTGGGTTTTGATTTTTCTTTTATGGGCTGCGTCTGCTTCTTGAGAAAAGTGAAGATATGAAAGAAAATTGAAACATTTTTAATCAATTTAAGAAGAGCACGAGCGTTTGCGTAGTTGAGAAGAAGCTTCTTTGGTTGTGTTTCTTATTGCTTTCGGTTTGGTGACTTTGTATTTGGGTGGGAGTGGGACTGTGTTTAAAGTTTGTGTTTTATGCTGATTTCTTTACTGCAAGATTTAAAATTCCGGCCCACAAAAGCTAAAAACTGAAATTTGGTATCCCGTCAACAAATATTGGTAAAAGTTAATGAGAATGGTAATAAATATGTTATTTTCTTCGCAGCAGTCGATATCGAAGCTTTGCAATTTAATTTGTCACGGTTCTTTAATCAGATTTGAAAGCCTTCTCTGCCGAAGCTAAATTGTTGAAAGTGAAAGATCACTTGGTCTATTTTTCTGCATTGATCATTAAAATATTTCAATGATGCTGGTGCTTTTCTGTTGTTTACATTTATATGCTCGTGTGCGCTTCCAAATTTTGCTTTTTATGGGCTTTAATTCATTAGTTAGTTTCTTTTTAATCTTAATGTTGCAAAGTAGTTGTGAAGTCTACATTTTAGAATAGGATATGATATGATTTGTCATACAGTGCACCTTGGTTTTGATAGGACATTCTTATCAGTGGACTCGTATCTCTGATAATAAATTGGTTTATTTGTCAACTACTATCTATGCTTCCTGAAACAATTTTATGGTGACAAATTACTACATAACTAGGACCTCTGTTATATGCATGCGACTTTGCCATTTAATTTATTCTGGTGTTTGGTTTTAAGTGATTGAAATATCTGGGATTCACAATTATCTTCGGCCGCATATAAACTTATGACCTACATGCCTGAATCAGATTGCTCCTTCAGTTGTCTTACTGCAATTATCTTGTCTGTCTTTGCTTGTGTCCCCTCATCATTGTTTTGTAGAAGTTGTCATGCATATTACTCATGCAGCATGTAGGGATCACATACCATATCATGTAAGATTTGTGTAGTCTGAACTACTGAAGATAATGATCTTATTGTTTGGGTTGGCAGATACATTTCATGAAGTCAAAAGGAGAAAAGATCGGAGAAAGGAGGTAATATCATGTGTTCTTCTATAATCTGAAGGAGGCTTTATCATCTTAATGTTGATTACAGTTTTAAATAATTGAAAGATTTCTTTGGAGTAAACCGGTGAACTTGGCTTTACAAGCTCGGAGAGGCTGTGAAACAAAATTATTTCTTCTCCATCATCCATGTTTTACTTTTATATAGTTGGAAATGGAATACTTCTCAATTGGGTTGTATGGATATATTCAGGCCAGTTATGATTATTAATTTTCCATTTCTTTTGATTTAAGAGTTTCATCAAATGACATTTTGAGTCCTGCTTGCTGTTCAAGTACAATAATGATTAATTTTGTCTATATCTTATTTACATTTGCGTGCCCACCTGAAGTTAGCTAGGCTACTTTATAATTCAATGTTGTTACTGTTCCAGCTCTTGAAAGGTAGAGCATCTGAAGATTCTAGAATGCCACCAGGCACACAGAGGCGAGTGTCTAGGGGTGGTGGCCAAGGGAATTATTCTTCCAGTATCTCTTCTGGTAAACTTTCAATCTGTTTATTACATATATATGCACACTTAAGATTCAGCTAGGTCTAGATATTTTTGTATGTTTATCTTTTAGTTATTGTTTAAACTCAAAGCATTATAATCCTCCACATGTCCTCCATATTGGCCAGTTAAGATGTTCGTTTGACCCTGTTCCTTTGCTTAAAGGAATAACTCAAATGTCTCTAACCCCTCCTGGTTAATGATAGCTGTAGTGGTATTAAGCGTGCTGAGAGAAACTGAGCATAAGAGAACCTCTGCAGACTAATTTTTTAAAATAATTTTTATTCTGTCAGTGACTGCTATGGTGTCACTATGTGACCTGGAAATAGAAAGGTGGGTTTTGCGTGAAGTTTTTCAACCCCTTGAAAAAAGGAATAGATCACTAGAATGCTGATGGTTATTGGATGAAATCTGACCATTAATCAAAATATGTAATTACTGATGAGATTACTTGCTCTCCCCCCCCTTCTTTCTCCCTTTTTTTCCGTGTAATCCATTAAATGGTTAGTGCCTATAATAAATACTTTGCTTGAAAGTATTTATTTGATTTGAACAGTGTCAGCAGATTTCAAAACCAAGTTTGTGCTGCAATTGTGAGGTTTACTAATTTTTATTGGTCTATGGGTTTCTGCTTTATGTTGATGTAAAGTTGCTTCCTTTTGATATAAATTACCTTCTTGTTTTCCAATTAACTTTCAGATGCTGGTGGTGGGAGGAATGCTTCTGCTCGGAGGGAAAATGGGGTCAATCATGTTGCAGATAGAGGTTCTATGCCCTCTTCTGTTAAGCCAGTTATACAGAAAACGAAAAACATTGCTGCAACTTCAATGCCAATGTAAATTTTTAGCAAATTTTTAATTTATGCCTTTTGTATCTATGAAGAACTGTTTTGTGTCCTAACTCTACTGCATGCTTGAGAAGAACATTGGGTTTTATTTTTCCTCTTAATTTATGATATATATTTTATCTCCAGAGCTTCAACTGGCACACCAAATGGGGTCACAAACCTATCAAATGGGAGTTCTATTCACAGTTCTGCCCCAAAATCCCCTATGGTTGTTGATAACAATGTTCGTGAAGGAGGTTCAGCTATAGATGTAAAGAAGTTGGGAGCTGCAGCATCTCGCCCTGCCGCTGTGACATCTACACCTACCTTTGGCTCACTGGATCATGAAAAGCCCGTGTCAATACCTGAACAGCTCCCAATTTCTGCCCCAACAGCATCTGCTTCCTCTGTTTACTCCTCTGCTTCAGATCCTGCTGTATCAAATCATGTTCAAGAAAACAAAAAAGGCTCTGTAGATGCTATTGGCTTGGAGTCGTCCAAGAGTGTAAAAGGGGCCTCCAGATCTGCTAATTCTGTGGTGGTGGCTGAAAAGAATTGGAATATTAAGCCTTCACAACCCCATTTTTCCTCAAATGATGATGGTTCCTTGGCCAAGCTGCCTTCTAAAAGTGTTAAACAGTCACAGTTAGAGTCTGCTGTTCCTCTGAAAGGTATTTTAACATGTTACACACTGAGAGTTGCCTTTTATTTTCATGCTCTCAGATGTGTGCATGTGTCGAAAGTTAAACTTAATTCATGAATGGGGTTTTCCTGCTTTCCTTTTCAATTATGTTATGTATCTGCCATTACTTTTATCAGCAGGTATTTAGTATCTGTTATTGTTATCCTTGTGTGTGCTCAGTAAATGTTATCAATTTTATTACTTTTGTTAGTAGGTGTTTTCAATTTGCTTATGTTTCTTAAACAGTGGTCACACTGGAGGTTGCAACCAACGCTGTTGAAGCTACTTCTCAAGTGCCTCGTGACTCGAGTCTCTCAGTTGCAAAACATGTTACTTTTCCAAATCATATCCAAGTCCCTGAAGCTTTGAAAAATGTATTGACCTTTGGAAGTATTGATGCTACTTTTGGACCGAGAGTAGACTCTGTTAATGGTACTGGTGGTGATAACTTCTCTATTGGTGCTGTTGAATCTTCTCAGGATACTGATGAAACCACTAAAGAACCTTCTCCTAGGTTGGTGAATGCTGTTTTCTGTGTATATCTACTTGGGTTAGTTTATTATATGAATTGTGCTTTTCTCTAATGCTTAATGATAAAAAAACATAAGTTTGAGTAAGATATTTATCCAGATTTATAGTTATAGTCTCTCTTCCATAGCATAAGTTCTTTATATTGCCTACTACAGGACCTTTGTATACTATGATTTTATTCTTTTGAGAAGTTTTAGTCACATTTATTTTATTTTATGCAGCAATGATATTTTATCCTCACGTGTGCAAGGAGATTTTTCTGAGAATCCACCATCAATACCTAACGTGCTCGAAAAGTCACCGCCTACAGAGGGTAATGTCTCTTCAAGTACAGACTCAAAAAGTGAACTTCCAAAGCAGGAGTTGCAGTTGCCACCAGAAGGTCCACAGAACCAAACTGCTCTACATGCCCCTAGCTATAATCTTGGGTTCTTTCCCCCCATGCTAGGGAGCCAGCTTTTACAGGTGGAAGGGCATGATAATCAGGCACATGAAACACCCCGCCTTCCAAACTTTGTCGTAAGCTCTTTAATTATGTCTTATTAGTTATTTATCTATTAAGGTTGTCATTTTGTTTTCTTTGGCATATCAATGATCGGTTCTTGATTTGTTTAGACTTTGTGGGGACTATATCTTCATATGTTAGTTGTTGACCTTTTCCATGGTAAATATAAGTGGTTTAACTTTTACTGAATGGACTTCTTTAATAATTTGAAAAGTTTTCTAGTATTGATATATTCATTCAGTTGCCATATATTTCTTTTAATATCTGAAAATAAAGGCACCATGTACTTTGTTGATTGTTGACGACGTGTATTGACATTGCTATTGTATTGCACATATTACTCTTCAGGAAATACATATAGTTAACCAATGTTGAGTAAATTTATGGTATCCATCAATAATTTCATATCCAAATATGGAGAGGACTAACATAGTTCAACTGTACTCTGTCAGTTACCAAGAGTAAATTTGTATGTGCTTTGCAACTTTCTAGAGCAAATTCGTTTGTAGTTGTATTTTGTGAGTTCCTTAAGCATTAGATCAATATCCATTTTACTATTTTATTTTTATGCTTCTGATCCGTGTATTTTGTATTGCAGGGTGGAAATTCTGCTGCTGTGCCTAGCCCAAACTCAACTCCACCACTGCCAAGCTCCATACCTGTCTCTCAGCAGTCAGTTCCGCTTTACAGGCAGTATCCCCCTAATTTCTACCCATATGGCCACTATCTCTCTCCATATTATATGCCACCAATACACCAGTTTTTAGGTCACAACGGCTTTCCTCCACAACCTTCAGCTGGGAACGTATTTCTACCACCACCACCACCACCTGCGGCAGCTGCTGCTGGGGTTAAATTCCCTCTTCCACATTTCAAGGCTGGGGTGAATGCTGGAAATCCAACTCAATATAGTAAGCTCTGTTGGTAATGAAGATCTTGGAGCATCTCAATTGAAGGAAAATCATATCTACACAACTGGACAACTGGTTGGTCTTCATTCTGTATCTTTAATTGAAGTTTTAATTCCCTTGCATGCTAACAAAGCTTCATCATATTAGTTGTTCTTCCCTTCTTGTTTTTCTTATAAAGTTCTTTGTCTGCACTAGCTAATAGAATTCCTTTCTGGTGATTTTTTTTTGCAGACTGAAGGTTCAACTGTTTGGATACATGCTCCGGGACAAGATATGTCCAGCTTGCAAGTGAGCTCTATGTACAACCTTCCTCAGGGGCCGCGTCTCACCTTCTCGCCCATGCAGGCTGGGCATGGTGGCATGGCTGGAATTTATCCACCTGGGCAAACGATTGCATCTCCAACATTTCTGCAACAGTCCCAGGCTGTGGCTGGAGCTGCTGAAACTATAGGACCACAGTCTGCTGCTTATCAGCAGCCTCAACATACACAGATGACTTGGAATTAGAACTTTTGATTTGGCAGAACTTTGCTGAGTGACGACACAGAAACACATCTTCTGAGGATCGAGTTAAACTGGGAATCTGATATCTGGCATGTTTTGAGTGTAAATATGAAATGCTGCCCAGACATTTTTGGAATATCATCTTGACCATCTGAAGTTGAAAGAAGATAGGTTTGGGTTTTTCCATGGTTCATCTTTTATTGTCTTTTGCTTTCCTCATCTGTTCTGTAGCGCCTAGCCTCTTAGTAATATTTTTTTTTTCAAAAAGAAAAATCTCTTGGTTGGAAATGAGTATTTAGCTTTGAAACTTAGTAATTCCTTTAAGATGTTATAGGAGAAGTAAGAGAAGAGGATGATAGAGTAGGGGTGGGATTTTCCAATTTTTCCTTTCTGATGTCTCACCTGTATATTAATGATAGCAAAGAATGTCATATTATACGGTTGTAATTGGTCTATGAGAATTGGCTTCTCTCTTTGGTTTCATTTGACAATTGTTTTTCGCTACCAAAAATTGCAAGAAAGTACCCCAAAAAAATAATTCGAAGAGTACTCGTTTCTTAATGGCTATCATTTTAAAACTAAAATTTACCAGAAAATGAAAAAAATTTGATGGCATCATACTTTTCGCAGTATGAGGATGAGTCGTATAAGTTAAGAATTCAACACCAACCAACTTAGCTTTAAGTAAAAAGACGGAAAAACACTCAAGATTAAACAAATCCATCATAAATAAAGCAATAAGGGTCAAGGGGAGGATAAAATTTTTGTGAAGACATGTTCTTAGGCTCAAGGGAGGCTTCCATATTCACATTTTATTGATTAATATTATAATTGTGAACAGGATTGATAGAATAAAGGTGGACCTCACCAATTTTTGCTTTCTGATGTCTCACCTGTTTAGTATGACAGAGAATGTTGAATCATAGTTGTATCTGGTATGCAAGGAGCTTGTAACTCAAGTGGTTAAAGATCATTTTATGTGTTCGATTTCTGCCTCACGATATCGCTTGCATAAAGAAAAAAAGTTGTAATTGGTGTAAGAGAATTTCCTTTTCTATTTTGTTTCATTTGACAACTGCATGAGGAAAAATGGTTTGTAAGCCTGCTTGGTTCACACAGCAGTTGTGGGGTTGGTGGTATCCTCTACATCTGACTCTACACTTTCTTCGTTGGTGGCTTTTGGTTTTAACGTCGGTAAGCTTTGCTTTGGGAGCTGCATGCTCACATTGTCTTGTGACTTTTGCAGGTTTAGTGATGTGTAAACAGACATTCCACAGAGGGCTGCAAGAGCCCCGCAAATGCTCACAAACCCCGGATCCGAATTAAACATAAGATAGCCCCCTAGTAGTATCACACAAGTCTTGAACTGGCCAAGAACAACATGTGAAGTCGCTGAGGTTGCCCTGCATAAACAGAACAAGAACTAGCCACTTCAAGCCTGTTCCAGTGAGGTAAAATGAGGTACAAAAGTTGTCTTTATGACAAGAGACTCACCCAAGTGCCAAAGCTCCAGACCATTGGAGGAGAAAACCAAGGAGTGCTGATATAAGAATGGCTGTTGTGTTGTTGAAATCCCATTGGAAAAGTAGAACTCCTGGTGGATCCAACCATGGCATCAGAGCTAGTAGGAAGAATATTGTGACTGGGGTTGTCTTCCACATCAGCCTACACTTCCACATCAGAAACTGTCATTCTTTCTTTCTTATAGGGTATATTATTTGACCGATTCGCTTCACTAAACATCTTTAAGGAGGAAGTATTTAAAGAAAGAACTCTAATTCTTACGCGAGTGCCGTCCAATTGGCTTGCTGTTGCAGATTAGACCATAAGATTTTGTTTACGGCACTTGGGACTATCCATGCAATTGCAATTAAAGCACCAAACACATTGAACTCTACGTCTGTTACGGTTGCTATTGCCACACCTGCTGAGACAACAGCTAGAGCCAAAACCTGCATAACCATGACTTCCGATGATTATCTGCACAGAAATAGGAAATCGAAACGAGAACAGAAGTATGGTTCTTTGAACCCGAAAAAAGGTACGAAGGTTAGCAAAATAAATGGGGCAAAATTATTTTGACTCACCTTGTTAAAAGAAATGGTTTTCCTGAAGAGAATGAACTCAGCAGAAACAATGGTAGGAGTGACAGCAATTTTAGCCATCTGGTAGAAGCCAACACTGCAACAAGCAGAAAGGTGAGGAAGTCGAACAATGTACGTTTGTAACAAGTTAACATACAAGATGAAAGAAAGCTAGCAAGGAAGGACCTGTTATGCTTTAGGCTTGTATTGGCAAGACCTGAGGCAAAAGCCATGACAGCACCTAAGGAGAAGATAGAAGAGAAAGGAGTAGTTCTAGACGGAGGAGCAACTGGAAGAATTGAAAGCGTCTTGAAAATGGCAAGAAGCAACCATGATGTCACATAATGAATCAATGTGAGAAAGATTGGGAACTTAAATCCAACTCTTCCCATTACCTGGAAGCAGAAGTGCAACTTAAGCATAAGATTGTTAAACAAAATGATTAAAATCAAATGGAAAATATTCCCAACAAAAAATCTTATGGACCCTGTAAAATTGCTAAAGCATACTAACTGAAAAAAAAGAAAGTAAGAAGAGAAGGACAAGGCTCTGACTAGTTTGTTTGCCAGGATAATCCCCACAGAGACAATGAAATTGAAGGTCATAGCCACCACCGGCCCACAAATCCGTTGCTGTTGGCGCTTGGCGCCTTCTGATGTTCGAATTTCATTGTAGATAGAACCTCTGAGTTCTTCCAGTGCTCGACCTGATAATTTGGAAAATCAGAACTACAAGAACTTGAAGAAGTAGAAAAGATAATTTTCATTTTGTGATTTCCAAAAGGGTACACACACATTTTCCTTGCTTTTATCTATTTAACTAATTTGCTTAACGGAATTGAAAACACAACATCAAGAAATAGCATATTGCTTTGGTGAGCCCTGCAGATTGTTTCAGCATTCACATGGACTGAGAAAAGAAACAATTTCTTGTATACTATGAAACAAATCAAAGCATTCAGGCAATAAAACTTCTTTTATTGATTCATTTATATGTAATAAAAACTTGAAGCTATCCAAATTATCTTGGTACAAAAATAAATCAGAAAAACCATTGTAGTTGCAGCACAAACAGAATGAACCAAGTTCAGCTTCAACTACTCCACAAGCAATACATATCAAAAAGGAAAACCCAGATACCCAGAAAACAGTGTTCATATTTTCATTCATTAAAAGAACACAAAATTAAAGAGAAGCCATAACCACAGTACATTACAAAACAGAACCAATCAAAAACGAAATAAAATCTTATAATGATAATGGTGATGATGCAGCTCACAGAATGCATGTGTTGTCAAACCTGCTTCTCCTGCATCACTGTCTTTTCGTTTCACAAACTTCTTAACTTCGTTTCCCACCAATGAATCCAACAGCCCCATATGCCAATGATCTAACAGAGGCACCAATCAATGGGATCACGTAGCCATCAAAATCATCAGCAAAACAAAAAAGCAACCCATTAAAAACCAGTTCTCCACCGAAGATGAAAAAGCTTCTTTGAATGTTGTGAAGGAGGAGAAACTTAGTTGCATTGCATTAGAGTCCTTCAATCCTACAAACACTCAAAAGACTTTTCTTTTTCTTTTTCTTCTTCTTTATTTTTGATAATGATACAATACAATAATAATAATAATAATAATAATATTGAATATTGAAGAAAAAGGAGTTTGTTATGTTTTAGGACATCTTGCTTAGTTTGCAATGTTTGTGAGCTCCAAGGTGGGGAGACAGGCGGGTGAGAATAACAGTCTTGACGGGTGTAGAACTTCTAATTGATGTAGGTTATCTGGGAAGTTAAGGAAACATGAAAGAGATTTGTATGATCAACAAAGAAATAGTCAAAGATTCAGGTACATGTGCTTAAGTCACCGCCAAGTGCTCATAGCTAATTAGTGAGAGCGATGGAGTGACCATAATCTCATGGCCTAAAGTATACGTTAGATATTATGGATATTTAACAAACTATAGGCATCTTTCATGTAAATATTAATTTGGTATAGCTAGCTTCACCTACAAATCATTAATTCCTAATCATGTAAACTATTAAAAGCAGCAGAGGTCCATTAGTTAATTAACGGTTAAGTTAGAAATAGTTTGCAATAAGTTACATGCAAAAGGAAAAGGGTATCTTTTAATTTAAGCCAAATATGAATCTTTTCGATACATGATAAATTTGTTCCCTTTCTCCAGATATGCAACTATGGCGGTATCCTTAATTAATCACACATTATTATACTTTTTTAATTTTTTCACGTGACAATGCATGATTGGCCCTACCATTTTTATACAAATTACAAACCTTCACGCATATGTGGATAACTGTGAGTTATTGATTAGTGTATAATCTTCTGTAAGATTCATATCAATCGATGATTGTCAACCATTGTAGTCGATTAGAGTGATAATATTGATTAGATAAAAGTTTACAATTTTTACAGCTACTTGTGGGTTTTTTCACAGCCAGTGTGGTTCTTTATTAAATATCACAACTGCGTGACACTATCCAAATTGATACTGCCATACGATTTCGAGCCAAACACAGATCCAAATACAATGAAAGTGAGATGCTGCCATTCTAAACAAATTGAAGTTCCAACAGAACAACTTATACTTTGATCTGTCCCTACTTCTGCTTTCCCAACCACCAAAGCATAAGTAGTTAGAAAACAAATGCAGCACCAGTTTCAAATTTGACGCTGCACCTTACTTGTGGGCCTCAGACAATTTTGGGTAACTGGTAACATGCAAAGAGCTATTGTGCGTAGTGAAATTCAGTGCCCTAATTTTATTTTTAAAATTATGACCGGGGCGGCCTATGTCTGATTTGGGTTCATTGGGACTTGCCCTGGCTTTGGGCCTCTGTAAAAACCTTAGTTACAAACAAGTTCTAAGAAGTAAATACGAGTCATTCTATAGTGAGGGTCTTGTTTAAGGTCTTTATATGAGGTGATATCTCTTAACACAAATTCCTTGGTAATCTTACTTTCCTGAAGGGATATATGACAGTGGGTACAAATATTTCAATGTTTCCTCTTGATAAATGAGTACAACAAAGTGAGTTTTACTGTGTATAAATTCAAATGTGAGAAACCATGACCGAAATAATGTACATCAACGCTTGAAAGAATAAATTATGGTAACAAGGAGTTCACTTATTTATCCTGGAGACATTTCTCTAGGTACTCATTTTCCCTCATAATGGCATCAAGATCAGCCTGTAATTTCTCCACATTTAAGCTTCGAGAGCCCATGGCCATTTGCTTCTTTTCATGTTCGGCCACTTCTCGTCGTATTCTATCATTTGCCAGGATTTTCTCACGAATTTGTTCAAAAGTCTCATGGATGCTAGTGAGAAGCCTATAAGCCTGCTTCCCTACTGCGTCTTTCTTTGCTTCCCTGCAAGTAAGATACATGCCTCTCAGATAACAATAGTTGGAGTTTGAATGACAAAGCGAAAGGTGATGGACCAAATCATAACTAAGTCTTTTTTTAAGGCAACAGTTTATGGGTCAAAGAAATTTTGTACCTGAACACCATTTCATCTACAACAGCATACGTTCGATGAAGACGTTCTTGGATAGAATTACTCTCTAACTGAAGCTCCCTGGTGTCTTTTAAGATCTGCTCTATGTCAGCTTCTTGCTTCCGACTGTTCTTTGTGATCTCCTTGACCCTTTCAATATAGGATCTTCTTGATTCCAGTTTTGGCAGCTTTGCTAGATCCATAGAAAGTTTAGAAAGTTCCTCCTCCCTACCAAATGAAATTAATTAACGCGAGAAAGAAAGAAACAACCTATATCACCCTTTATTCTTGGGCATCTTTAACGCAATCTATAAAAATGTTTTCTTTTTCCCCTCAATATTGTAACTTGTAATGAAATATGTTCCTTTGTAAAAACTAAACAGTCCCAAACTAAATCATGAATCACAGAAGTTCTGGGGACAGCAGGAGCACAGAGAACATGACCCAGAAAATTCATTCATTTCATTCCAGAAAAATACCTTTTTTGAACTGCAGACAAGATGGATTCCTTTTCCAGTTCAAGATTTTTCAGCTTTTGGAGCTTTTCCTGAGCATCTGGGTTGTTTGCATACAGAGACTCCTCAAGACTTTTCTTTTTCTCTTCTAAATGCTTTCTGACTACTTCCCTGTGAAAAATAATTGGTAACAGATGAAAAACCAATAGCATACATACATATATGCTGACAAAGGTAGTACCTTTTCAAATGTCTATATCTTGTGCATCCACACATATGCTTTTAAAGTGTAGTCTCTTCTAAACGTATATTTTAGTGCCCATGCTCATTAAGTAGGAAAGCGCCTCTAGAAAGATGTTGCAAAGTGCAAAACAATTAACTTTGTATGAAAAATTAAATAAAGATTGATATCTTACCACTCTGACTTTAATTCTCCAAGGTGATGCTTTCGAACATCCACTTGCTCATTAAGTTTTGCAAGGTAAAATTCAACGGGATGATGGATGTCAAATGCCATATCTGTGGCTTCTTTTAATAATTCCAACTCTTCTTCAAGGTGCTTTAGTTCTGAGGCCTTTGCAGTAACCTTCTCCATGAGCAGTTTCTCCTGATTTTGCAGTTTTTCAGTCAAATGCTTCCTGCTTAATACACTATTCTGTCCGCCCTTGTTGAATTCTCCTGTACTAGAGCTGGATACATGATCAACACCGTTTTCATCCAATTTTTGTGGAATAAGATGAGCATCAGCAGACGTGCTGAAAGAGGCATCTTCATCATTAGTATTTGTTAGTTCAGGCAATTTCCCATTGAATGTGAGTTTGTCCAATTTGGCTCCAACTTTGTCATAACTATGATCAGACCCCTGGTCACCAGTTTTGTGGTCCTCCAAATTGCTTTCAAAGCTGTCTTCTTTCACTTCCCTTCTATCATTGACACCCTTGGGACCAGATTTTCCGATATCTTCAGATAATTCTGAAAGCCTCTCCACCAAGAATCTTATCAACTTGTACGAGTCCTCTTCAGATGGATACAAGAACTGCCGTAAGCAACACATATAGTCTGTTTCTAAGCAAAATTTCAGAACAATAAGAATGAAAAGAACAACAATAAGATGCAAAAAAAAAGAAAAAAGAAAAAAAAAGCGCACGTAGAAATTCAAATCAAATAAGAAGCAATCTCACACAATTCATAGATTCAATTGCATATACTGGCAATTAGCCAGTCATTATCCAAATAAACTAAAAGAGAAACTTACTAGACAGCTTGGAAATTAATCAAGACCGCACATTTAAACACGATTTCGCTTAATCACAACAGTTCAGAGTGACAGTCTGGTTACTCTACAAACAAATGATCCTAACTGATTCCATACCCGCAGAAAGCCGGTCCCTGATTTCCTAAATAGTACAGGGTACCTCAATTTGTATGAACTTTAATTAGTAAGAAAAGCATTTTCCTTTAAACAAATATAAAAAAGCTAAATTATGGTAATTTTGAATGAGCAAAGTTGCTAGCACAGCTACAGACCATATTTCGTATAGCTTAAGATCCTTATGTCTATAATTTCTGTGCATATAACAGATACATATAGTACTATGCAAACACTATATACTTCCAATTCAAAAACACAATTCAATTTCATTCAATTCAGTGATACTGAGCCTAAAAGTTGTTCCAATTCAGTAAATTGAGGTCGGCAAGGTAATGCTATGCTTTCACTTTTTCGCATTTTCTCAGGAAACAAACACCGAAACAAATATATAAAAAAATCGAAACTTGTTAACTTTACGATTCTTACCTGGTGGAAACTGAGGTCGGCGAGGTAACCGAGGCTCTTGAACGCGGAAGCGATGTCCGTACAGAGCTTGAACCTGTCGGCAACAGAGGAATCAGGGAGGGAAGTGGGAAACGACGGCGTTTTGCCGATGAGGTTGAGAGACTGGCCACAGATCGAGACTAAGGTCGCCGGCGTCAGGTCTCGGACAGACGACACGTCGTTTAGGACGCAAACGCCCGAGTTCTCCAACGACTTTAGCAGTATTTCCCGCGATTCTTCCATTTTCACTCAATTTTTATCTTTTTTCCCGAGAGAATTTGATTTTTTTTGATGAAATTGAGAGATTTCTGAGCTGTTTGTGCAATTTTTTTTCCTTTCAGTAAGTATGGCTGTTGACTTCTTGTGTTCTACAAACTAACAAGTGCACGAGCTACTTTGTTCTGTTCGAAGAACTTGATCCGACGTCGTTTCCTATGCAACTTTTGTTTTTTTCTTTCTTCTTCTTTTCATTTCATTATTATTTTTTTCATTTTAAATTTGTTCAAGTTCTCTTAAGGTTGACATCCTCTCACTTGAAGTTTTGTAAACCCAACCATGTAGTTTTTAAAGTTAAATTTTAACTTAGATGCTATGAGTTAAGAATTAAACTATTGAGCATTTTATACGGATGAAAAATTTTGCAATTCAAGAGACGAAGAATGCGTGATTTAGACTTAGTTTAATCTTGAATTTTGAAAGAAATTTTAAAATTTCAAATGATATCAATTATATGTGTATTTTTTTTATAATTTTATATCCCTGGCACTGAAGATTTTATCTTTATTACTTTTTAACAGATTATTGATAGTTAAAAGCCAAATAGACTTGAGAGTATTATTTCTTTGGTTAGAATATGAAGCAATACAAAGTGAGTTGCATGTAAGCCTGAAATGAGCTCTCATTCCTAGTCCTAGTCCTAGAGTGCCATAAAGAGCTAATTTTTAGTCATGTCCTTGGCATGTTTACCAAGCAAAGTCAAGAATTGGTTGCAATAAGAATAACAAATAAAAACAAGCTTTTCCATCAAGACCTAAAACTAAGCACTGAAAGCATGTGGCTTACCAAACACCACCCTGCCTCAAAACTATATAGGCAAGCTTTTGGTTTGTCACAATTGATATTCAGCCCCCCCATTAAAAACAGTTTCAGCTTCTTCTAGCTTGGTCTCGGGTTCGGCGGTCTGAAAACATGGAGATTAGGAGAGATGATGAGATTGAGGACATCTCAATGTCACCCCCAACAATGGGGTCTATGCAGATTGCGGGGAGCAGTGGCTTTGGTCACAACCTAGAGTTCATGTCTCAAGCATACCTTAGAAACAGGTACTCAGAGATTGACATAGAAGATGAGAGTTCTAATACCAATAAAGATGGGCCTCTTCCAATTTTTCTTAAGGTAGTAATTTGAAAACCAAAAGTTGAATTGAAGTAAGCAAATTTAACAGATTTTTTTTTTTCTTCTGTTGCTTATGATCTTCATGTGCTTATATTTACAATGCAGTTTGAAGATGTGGAGTTTAGGGTGAGAAGCAGCAAGGCTTCTAGCAACACAGTGAAAGCAATGGTGTCAAAAGTAGCCTCACAACTCAACATGGAAGATAATTACAAGCAGATATTAAGGGGGATAACAGGAAGCATTGGGCCAGGGGAAATTCTTGCTCTGATGGGACCTTCTGGTAGTGGGAAAACTACTTTACTGAAAGTGATTGGAGGAAGAATACTAGACAATGTTAAAGGCAAAATAACTTACAATGACATCCCATATAATCAAGCTCTTAAAAGGAGGTTAGCCAACTCCATGATGCTCCTCTCTTTGTTCATGGAAATTTGATTGATATGGTAATGTTGTGCTCTTTCTTTTTTGTTTTACCTCAACAGGATTGGATTTGTGACACAAGATGATGTGCTGTTCCCACAATTAACTGTGGAAGAAACTCTAGTTTTCGCTGCCTTTTTGCGGCTTCCAGGCAACATGAGCCGACAGCAAAAATATGCAAGAGTGGAGATGATTGTTAAGGAGCTTGGTCTTGAAAGGTATGTACTATATATTTAATATTTTCTTTTCCATGGTGAACCTAGAACTTTGTTTCAAGAACTCTTGTCCTAAATTTTCTCCCATATGATCATAGATGTCGTCACACACGAATAGGTGGAGGGTTTATCAAAGGCATATCAGGAGGAGAAAGGAAAAGAACCAGTATAGGCTATGAAATTCTTGTTGATCCTTCATTGTTGTTGCTTGATGAACCAACTTCAGGCCTTGATTCTACCTCAGCTAATAGACTTCTTCTGATTCTTCAAGGACTTGCTAAGGTCAATTAGTGAAATGCCATTGTGAAAGAAATGATCCCTGTGAATATTTCCATTGTGGAAGAAGTGCTAATGAAAAAAATCATATTTGATGTTGTACAGGGTGGAAGGACAATAATCACAACTATCCACCAACCATCAAGCAGAATGTTTCATTCATTTGACAAACTTTTGCTGATATCAGAAGGTTACCCTGTGTACTATGGAAAGGGTGCAGAGTCTTTGGAGTACTTTTCATCTTTGAGATTCATCCCGGAAATTCCCATGAATCCTGCAGAGTTCTTGCTTGATTTAGCCACTGGACAAGTTAACGACATTAGTGTTCCTGAAGATCTCGTGGTACCTCAAGGGCAAGGGACCCTCGACTCTGAGAAGGCTGTGGTCAGGGTAAGAACTACTACTTCAAAATCTCCAGCACCTAAATTCTTTGTATCTTCCTCTCTCTCAACATGTGTTTTTATATTTATATTAGTACCTACAACTCAAATACAAAACTCAGCTGGAGCCAAAAGAAAAAGGAGAGAATCATGGAACAACGAAAGCACCAGACCATCTTCGAGTAGCTATTCAGGCTAAAAAAGATTGGACAATCACCTGGTGTGAGCAGTTCATGATATTGTTTAAGAGAACATTTAGAGAGAGATGCAGGGACTACTTTGATAAGCTAAGACTGGTTCAAGCGGTTGGAGTTGCAGTCTTGTTGGGTCTTCTTTGGTGGAAATCGAAGACTGACACTGAGGCTCAACTCAGAGATCAGGTAAATTTCAGTGACCCGGGGGTCATAAAATCGAATCAAATATATAAACATCCCAATATAAACTCTTCTGCAGGTCGGCTTAATGTTCTACATCTGCATTTTCTGGACCTCTTCATCAATTTTTGGAGCCGTATACGTGTTTCCATTCGAAAAAGTCTTCTTGGTCAAGGAAAGAAAAGCAGACATGTATAGATTAAGTGTATACTATGTGTGCAGCACTCTGTGTGACATGATGGCACATGTATTCTATCCCACCTTTTTCATGTTGATTGTGTATTTCATGGCTGGCTTTATAAGAACAGTTCCTTGCTTCTTCCTCACATTGTTTTCCGTATTATTGGTAGCTGTCACAAGCCAAGTAAGTCAAAATTAACAATTCCAACATGAAGTTAATTTAATTCTAGTTTGGTGGTTGAATAAAACAGCTTCAATTGTTTCCTAATTAGGGGGCAGGAGAACTGTTTGGAGCTCTAGTTTTGAGTATTAGGAGGGCTGGGATGGTTGCCTCTCTGATACTAATGCTGTTTCTTCTCACTGGAGGCTATTATGTGCAGGTAATCTAATTGAATTTGACCCGAAATCACATTTTCTAGGACAATTTTTAACTTCTGCAAATTTTCTTGCATTACCATGTGACAACATGTTGTTTTGGTTTGCAGCATATACCGAAATTTATGCAGTGGTTGAAGTACTTGTCGTTTATGTACTACGGCTTTCGGCTTCTACTGAAAGTGCAGTATTCTGGTGATCAACTATATGAGTGTGAAAGCAAAGGAGGGTGTAGGTCTCTGCAGAGTTCACCTACATTTGACATGGTAGACCTGAATGGAGGCATGGAAGAAGTATGGATTTTGCTGGCCATGGCAATAGGTTACCGGATATGCGCCTACTTTTGCCTTCGGAGAAGAATTAGCATAAGCAATATGTGAATGTATAATTTCCACCTAGTATGGATAACTTTGAGAAATCAAAGCTCTACTATGTTTCCCAATTGCAGAGGTTCAAATCAAGAGAGGAACTTTGGTGTTGGGTTAAGGGATTGTACTATGATTATCTCCACTTTTGTTCACCGAAGCTTTCAAGCAATGAAATTTTTAGCATGGCAGTGAAAATCAGAAGTAAATAACTGAGTAGGATTAAGGAATATCCGTACTCAGAAAAACAAGTTATATTTGGCCTGTTTCATTGACTTGTGAGATAGCCCACCAATGTCATAAATTTATATGCTGTCTTTATGAGATAGCCGGCCATTGTCTTGGAGTTGCCATTGCATATATCTGGGCAAATAAACTTTAAATCAGCGCAAAAGTTTGAGAAAATGAGACAATGTTGTTTGAAGTCTCCTTCTTCATTGATACAGAAATTAAATAATGATTAAGAAGATGATTTAACTCTGGAAACAGGTAATACATTACAAAATGAGCTTCTAAAAGATGATTGAAGAAAGAGTGCTCGGGTGACCCCAAATTTTACTCAACCTTGGATTTTATTATTGTTAATTTCTAACCCTTTGGATTAAGATATAATTAGAGAAAGTTTTGGACAGGATTAAGTTTATTGTCATAAAAGAAAAGTGAAAAAAGTGATGGAGCAATTTGGTCAGTGTTGAATGAATATTTTATGAAAAAATCTTGTGATTCAATAATACAACTACTTTACTCTTTTTAGTATCTTGAAAGACAGGCCATCCACAAACTACAGAGCCAGGGGAACACAAACACCCTCATTCATGGTCAAAAGTCTACCCATTTCAGCCTTGCCTGCCCCACCCCATCTGGACTCTCTTCTCTTGGTTCTCATTCTCTCTCTCTCTCTCTCTCTCTCTCTCTCTCTCTCTCTTTGCTTCATCCACTCAACTGTCCGATTACCCATCTGACTCTCTCTGTCTCAGTCTTCATTCCATCTGAACTCTGTTTTTCTGTGAGTTCAATTCAACACAGCAACAAAAAAAATTCCAACGTGTCCTTCCATATAAATTATAATAAGAAACTCTGTTTTCAGTGACAGCAAAGTATTAGAGCTTCAAACTTTGATATAAAGCTCTCTCTCTCTCTCTCTCTCTCTCTCTCTCTCTCTCAAGATGGCTTTAGTGCCATACTCAGACCCAAGCTCTGAAGCAACCTCTGCAAGCCCTGCATGGCAGGACATGTTCCGATCAGCTTCAATTCGAAAATCATCAACCCCTGAGCCCCAGGTGCCTAAACCCCAGGCTCTGCCGAAGGACCCGTCAAAACCCATCGATCCAGATCACAAAACCACCCTCTCCGGCGATCCCCAGGTACGCTTAGCCCTCTACATAACCATGGCTCATGCTGGCCTTGCCTTTACAATTTTTATACTTTACGCTGTGGGCAAGCTCTTAGAGGAATACTTAAGACCAATTCAGTGGGCTGTGCTTTGTTCAATTCCTCTCAGAGGTATACAACAAACCCTTGTGGGATTTTGGTCTGAGCCCTTAAGACTTGGCCTCACTGAGACTGTTTTGGCTGTCCCTGTGGCAATGTTTCGAGTTTTTGTTGGTACCCTGGTTGAAATTCGAGAAGTTTGTTTCCGGATTTTTCTCCGAAAGCTTAAATCTGAGTACAGAAGGAGGCATCAGAGTGAATTCTCCAAGTTATTAAGGTGGCTGGTATCGTTTTGGATACTTATACTTGCTTATGAGAGAATTGGTGGTGTTGGTTCTCTGGCAATTCTTGGATTAGGCTTTTTGTTTAGTGCCAAAGGTGTGGATTCGACAATGTCGACTGTATCCTCTTTGAGGTGTAGTAGCTTTCGTCGTAGCCCAATTAGTGCCTTTTTCACCCGAAGGATATTGATACGGTTGAAAACCATTGTGGCAATTGGGTTGATGTTTGCTATGATTGTGGGATTTTTGGTTGGTGTCACATTCTTTTCGTATAAGATTGGAGTTGAGAGTAAAGATGCAGTGATTTCATTGAAATTACATGTTGAAGAGAGCAATTACACGGAGAAGATTGGTATTAAGCAGTGGATGGAGGAGAATGATGTGCCTGGAATGGTGGATAGGTACACTTCCAAGTTGTATGAAACAGTGTCAGACCAGATAGATAGTTTGGCAATGCAGTATAATATGACAGAATTTGCGACTGGGATTAAGCATTTTGTAGTAAGACAGTCTGCCAATTCTTCAGAGCCTTCAACGGCATTAGCTAGCCCATCTCCGTACACAGAAAAGCTTCTGAGTTTGAGAAATCGGATCAGTAAGAGGGAATGGGGACATATTTACACAGAGATTGATGCAATTGTTAGGGAATTAGTAATTACCAGGGAGGATTTAGTTGAGAAGGCAAAAGGGTTTGCAATTCGAGGAATGGATGTATCACAACGCATACTTGCTAGTAGTACATCAGTTGTTGGAGGTAGTGCAAAATTTATGTTCTCCATTGGTAGTTCCATTGTTTCTGGAGCAGCTGAGATTTTCAATTTTGTATCTCAGTTAATGGTATTCTTCTGGGTCTTGTATTATCTGATCACATCTGAGTCTGGTGGAGTGACTGAACAAGTGATGAGTATGCTTCCAATTTCGAAGTCTGCGAGGGTTAGATGTGTTGAAGTTCTTGATAATGCTATATCTGGTGTTCTTTTGGCTACAGCTGAGATTGCAATTTTTCAGGGATGTCTCACATGGCTTTTATTAAGACTCTACAAAATACATTTCTTGTACGTGTCCACCGTTCTTGCAATCCTCAGCTCTCTGCTGCCAATCTTTCCGTCATGGTTTGCAACTATTCCAGCAGCTCTTCAACTGGTACTGGAAGGGAGATATGTAGTAGCCATCATCTTGTCCGTTATTCATCTCGTGCTTATGGATTATGGCGCATCTGAAATTCAGGAGGATATACCTGGTCATAGTGAATATCTTACAGGACTTAGCATCATTGGTGGAATGACTTTGTTCCCATCTGCACTCGAGGTAAATACAATGTTGATGATAACTGTTTTACTTTGGAAAATAAGCCAATTTAAGAGTTGAACTAGTTTCAATTTTGCATCTTTTTAACTGGATTCTAGGAAGTCATCTCGTTCTGCAATTCAAAAACTTAGTGAAGTGGGGGTGAGTGGTTTACTTCTTCCTAGTGAACTGACTAAAATAGGGGTAGGAGATTATGAAACAACAGTGTTGAAAACATTCTTCATTGCTTAGGGGAGGTTCACATAATATTGACAATCAGATATCTTAAGATTCATACATTTGATCACATCACATAAACTTTGCATTCAACTTGGTCATCCTTGGTCATCACGATCTTAAGCTAATCTTCTTATTTCTTGTGTTGTTCTCAGGGTGCAATTATGGGTCCCCTCATAACTACAGTTGTGATTGCGCTTAAGGATTTGTACGTGGAATTTGTTCTGGGCGAACCGAAGGATAAAGTTGAGTAGCGAGCATGCTTGTCTGATTTCCTCACCAGTTTCTATTTATTTGTTTGCAGCTTAATCTGAACTGCATGCACATTATTCTTTGCCAGTCTGTTGTGAGTGCTTTTCTCCACTCACATGGTGTGTTAATTCATTGTATCTTGATATGAAACAGGCTGTTGTGAGTTCTTTTTGCTTTTTTATTTTTTGTATAGTAAGATGAGTTTATGGTATCTATCGTCCTTATTCGATGTAAGATTAGATTGGTGGCTGTAATTTGTATCCTATCAATTGTTGGCAGTGAAATGAAAATTTGTAGATTCTCTGTGTGTTACTCTAGTACAGTAATTCAAAATCTAAAGTCCATTACAGTTTGCTATTATGTATTACTTCAGTCGATCTGCAAATTGAGTCCAACAAAAAGCTCTGGATAGTCACTTTGCTTTACCAGTACTTTCACTTTTTCCAAATGAAACCATGGATTTAGTTCTGGATATTCATGCCCATGTTCATAGAACGAAGCATTCCTCCGATAACCTCAGTTAATCAAAGGAAGCTGAAAACTTGTCGACTTTTATAATTTCACATCATAATCAGATATATTAGAAACATCCCCATCTCACCAATATTGTAGGCCACCAAAGACCAAGCTGCAACTTGTATAAATATTCACCATTCACACAAACCAATCGCATCACCAAGTTCAACAAACAAACTATTCCTTTCAACTTCATAAAACAGGTAACATTCAATATCAAGATCCAGCTTACAAGCCTTACATCTTCAACACCCCTTTTCTTTTTCTTTCAGTACAAGCCAATTTGAATCAAGCACGGTTCATTCAATTAGAACATTACAGTACATACAACTGTTAAAGACAAAGTTCATTTTGACTTTGTTGCTGGGGGGGTCCCATCTCAAGATATAGATTGATTTATGACATTACTTCATGTATTTATGCAGGAATTTGCGGTGAAAGTCATTCCTGACAGTGTCATTGATGAAGCGCTTTGGAGCCTTGGTTTCACCACGGGCCTGATTTTTAAACACCACATCATCATCCCATCTGGGCCAAAAGATGCAGAAAGAACAGAGCTGTTAGAAAAACAAGACCCAATAGAGCTACTGATTTTTTTATAATTTGATCACAGAACTAGCCATGAGTAAAATCTTAACTAACCTTCTTTTCACACTAAAGGATGTGGCTGTTGCACCATTAAGCAATGGGTTCCCTCGGAGAAGCTCTGCTTCCTTGACTTTAAGCTCTTCCTCCCGCTCTTGTCGTTCCTGTGGAAGCATAAAAGTTACATTCATTACAATCAGTGAGACTAAAGCAATTGATAATCTTACGATAAAGTGTCAAATCACTTCATAGATATCTCACCTTTCGTAGCTTCTCCTCCGCTTTTTCCTTCCTAATTTGTTCAAGCTCGGCCATCAGAGCTTCTTCATCATCATCATCATCATCATCTTCAGAACTATGATAAAAAGTAATTGTTCCAAATATATCAGCAAATCATGTGGTAATATCATTCCACCACAAAACATGGACTGAACTATACGAGCAAATGAAACATAACTACCAACAAATGAAAAGATTGTTGAAAGTCTTTAAGTAGCTATTTTTGAGCTGCAGATAATTTTATCAATTCAAATGGAAGTCGGGAACCAAGAAGTTCCATAAGCACTACCTCATAATAAAAACATCCTCAACTGTAAGCATACAAGTTATGAGTGATTGTGATAAAACACATTCTGCAAATTGGTTCTTCAGTTTCGAAGTTGAGCAAACAAAGCCCATAGTAACTATGAAAGAAGCTGGAATACATATATGACTTATAAACAATGCCTCTTTCTAAAGTTTAGAAAACCATCAGGTAAGTTCTATCTATTCTCACATACCTTGCAACAAAAGATTTGATGGAACTCTAATAATTCAACACAAAACTAGGCTAGCAATTCACTGGGGATTATTTATGCATTTTCATTCAAATATATATGCAATGAATACCAACCTTTCATCATCACTTTTGACTTCCACATCAGAATCATCAGCATCTACATTACGCGGCACAATTTCAGTGTCCCTTCTGCCCCCTATTACCATAAAGATATTATGTAGTTAGTAAGGCGAGCAATTACTTAAATGAACTTTCTACCTTAAAATGTGAAATGTAAGAGCTCGAATATACACCTTCCAACAACAGCTGGCTTCCTCTCCTGCGATCTCTGTCATCTACACAATGCACATACCAATTAGAAACAATGAAAAAACAATATCACATCACTGTATAATTAGGAAATTGACAAATAAAGAAACCCACTCCCCACGCTCTTCCAGCTCCTCTCGGAGGTTCTTCTTCTGCAACTCATCCTGGGTGTCTTGCCCCTCCTTTCTTTTAGATACACATAACACACCAACAAAGACAAAGTTTAAAATTAGCATCCAAGGAAAACCAGCTCACATATATAATATATATCAGAAAGACAGATTTGTAACAAAGACCACAAACATTTAACGGAATAGTGGAAATTTAGAATTCGATGTGACACACTCCAAACTAGTTAACAAAAATCAATATCTGTAACAATGACAAGGACCAACCTGGGTTTTAGAGTTGTATGGGCCGCCATGTCCCTTGAAGAGTATTTCTGAGAAGGGCCAAAAATCCGAGTACCACCTTGTTCATTACCACCTTTTGCAGGTGCCCACGTGGGTCGAGCCGCAGTCGTCATGTCTTCAAATTATATTCACAAAACCTGTCAACCAAACAATAAACTTAAAATTCACAAACCATCCACAAGCCTACACCAATAATCACATACGTGCAATGCTCATAAAATACACCTGTGTGCAAATAGCACATAAAAATAAAACAAATACATACACACAAAAGTGTGTGAGGGAGAGAGAGTACTGAAATTCAAGGTTATTTTCAATCATTGAGCTACCCTTAAGAATTTTTTATTCTTTATTTTTATACAAAACAGACACTAATTTGACAATGGCGTTCTTTTTCCTGGTGGTGGCATGAAAGTTATGGATTTAAAGATTAGAAGAAGCCGATGATGAGGGGCCTTGACCAAAAAAGAAAGAGGGGTTGATGCAAGCAGAACAAAAATTCTAACAAAATATCCAAGAGAAATCAAACTCAATTTCTATTTCGAGTTCATGCAACTTGAAATTTCAGCTTCTCTTCGTTTCCATGCTTTTCTCAGCAAACAAGCAACGAAATCCACGAAATATTAGAGAAAGGAAACAGATGATTAACCGCCGGAGGCTGAAAACAATCTTTTCCCAATTCTTCGAAGAAAATTTTAGATTTTTCTCAGGTTTTCTTCAGCACCAAACGTAACCCTAAAACTTTCGGCATCTATTTATTTGCAGAGAGAAATACTAAAGCACAAAAACTGGCACCAACATAATTTGAACACATACGAAAAGACCTGATCCTGAGTTTAGGGTTTTTACCTTCTTGAATTTGTTCTTCGATTTGATTCGAGCAGAGAGAAACGTTTAGCAATTTGTACTCTCTTTTTTTTCGGTGCTGGAAAGCAATTTGTACTTCGTTCATATATAAGAAAGTATAACTTTTCCTAAAACAAAAAAGAAAAAGAAAAAGAAAGCATGACGACGGTGAAAGTATCCGGGTCGGTTCGGATACAAAATTATCCTCATCTTGCTTTGGTTCTGTTTGGGTACATGGTTGGCCCATTGGGCTTATGAGCTCCAGCTACCACAAGCCTAAAAAATGCAAAAAAATTGCTTTATATTGTGACAATTCGAGTAATTATAATATAGTACTGAAATATGATCACACGTGGTATAACCCATCTACATGTATTGGTACTAAATCCTAAAAGTGTCCACTCATATTATAACGTGTACAGTATACACGAATCCGTGTTCTTTGTTTTTTTTTGGTAAATTGCATATCCGTATTCTAGTAGCATACAAAGCTCACGTCATTACTCTTAACACATCACAATCATTCCCTTTCACAAACAATGAGAAAACCAAAAAGGTTGTACAATAACAAAAAAGATGCACAAACAAGACTCATTTGATTCATCTAAACTCAAAACTCTTACAAAAGGGACCAATATAAAGCCTAATCACTTGAAGATCCATCGTCATCATTTTCATGCTCTGTCACAACTTTCTCTATAAACCTCTTGCGAACTCCATCGATCACAGCTTTCCTTGACCGATCATTTCCGCTCTGGCCATCATTGAGCACAGGATCTGATTGGCAGAGGACTAATGCTACACCTGATATTCAGGAGTGCACAGAAAAAAATTCATCAAAAAGAGTATAAGAAATTTCATAGAATACTGGCTCACATCAAGGCCCATACTAATCATGCGTATCCAAGTTCAGGAAAAGAAATGTATAAATGGTCCAAAATGATCTCATAATGCAGCAAAAGGCCACAACCAGTATTGAAGTTTATGGTCAAAATATTGTGTTAAAAAAATATACATCATGTTAATTCACTTGAGTTGCAAAGCTTAAGAATTTCAATAACCAGTTCATTTTCCCATTTGATAATCCAACAGAAGCTGGAATCTCTCTCCATCTGTGAAAAAGAAAGCAAAATGAAACATGAAGCTCAAAAGAACCCAATTGAATTCAAAGTGAAAATACCTTCAGGTGTGCATCTCCTGCCAAAGCTCTGCAAGCCCACGTAATTTGCTTTGACAGCACCATTGTTGTACACCAAAACAGTGGGAACATTACGATCTGGGTAATTTGGGATGCAGTCGGTTGATATTATTTTGACAAATTTGGTGGCTGGGTATTTCGTAGCCAAATCTTCCAAGCACTGCATCAACACTCCACATTCCGCAATTCCTTCTTTGTAGAGAACCGCAACAACCCAAACATCAGCTGGAGCTTGCGAAACCTCCCGCACGAAATCTGATCCTGAAATCGGCACAACTGATCCAAACCTCGCAACCTTAGCTGCTTCTCTCAACTCAGCCAGCCTCTTCTTCCTAATCCAACACCAACCCAATTTTCACATTTACATTTTCAACATGAAGTAATTAGGACAATAATGAACAATTAGGGACCTGTAATCTTCAAGGAAGCGATCATCGTCGAGATTGGGATTGTCTTCCAGGTCTTCCAGGTCCTGTTCGGTCTTTTCATCGATCCAGGACTTGTCCTTTGGAAGAGAGGCTTCATCCTCGGCTGGAGTGAAAGGTGCTGGCTTGAACGCCGGTGGCTTTGCCGGTAGGTTCCCTAGCTTTCTCTGTATATCGTCCCACTGCGTCGATGCTCCTTCCACGTCCTTGTACACAAAGTGATAGTCCGCCATTCTCTCTCAATCTCTCTTTCTGGAACTTCCCTTCTCCTTTGTTAAGTTCGTTTTCAGTCTTTGTTACTTGGCCTAGATTTATGTACTGGGGTTGATGCAAGCAGAAGAAAGATTTCAACAAAACATCCATCAGAAATCAGACTCAATTTAGTGTTAATGCAACCTAAACTTTCAATTTATCTTCGTTTCCATGCTTTTTTCAGCAAACAAGCAAGGAAATCCATGAAAAATTAGAGAAATGAAACATATGACTAAATTAATCGCCGGATGCTGAAAACATAACTATCTCAAATTTCCTAATTCTTCGAAGAAATTTTAACTTTCTCTCAAGTTTTTCTCAGCATCCAAACGTACACCTAAATTTTTTGGGATTTATTCGCAGAAAGAAGTACTGAAGTAAAAGGAAAAAATGGCGCGAGCAAACAATTGAATCCACACGTAAATAATTCATCCGAAGTTTGCGTTGATGAAATTTAGGGTTTTTACCTTGTTCAATTTCGTTCTTCGATTTGTTTCGACCAAAGAGTGAAGCCAGCAATTTGCATTTCTTTTGGGTTCTGTCGAGCACTTTTCTTGTATGAGAAAGAAAGATGTCGCAAAAATTCCGGGTCGGTTTGGGATATAGATCATCCTCATCTTCGCTTTGGTTCAGTTCGGATACAAAGTCGGCCCATTGGGCTTATCAACTCTTGCTGCCGCCAGTTTATCCTCTTCTTTATTTTTTCTTTTCTTTTTCCTAATCTTTTCTATTTTCCCTTAGTCTCACACCCATACTTAAAAATTGTAGGCGTTTAGTTTACAAGCAAATTAGTTCAGAAAATAGTTTAATTTCTTATGTTTGGTGAGTCCAAACATAAGAAATTAAATGAAACCCTCCATTCCTCCAACCCAATTTAATTTAATTTTCCTTTCGCGTAGGTAATAAAAAAAGAAGCATTAAATATGTTTTTATGATTACCCCAATATGGTCTTTTAAAATTCAAACAATATTCTACAAGGAAGGAGATTCAAACTCGGATGGAGAACACATCCGCTCTAGCTAACTTAGCTAAACTCATATATGGCACCCCAATATATTTTTGTATAATTGAGAAAAAAAATTTATTTTCAACTCCTACAAAAATTAAACATAAACAACTTCCCCAACGTTACCAAACATGGAAAGGAGTCTCCATTTCTCATCCATTTGGAAAATAATTGAGAGTGAATTTCTTTCCGCGATCCAAATGCAGCCGTAGAACATATAAGTTTAAATAAGAACAACAACAAAAAACCGAAAAGATTCATATCTCCATGTTTTTATATAAACAATCCATATCCCCATTCTCTCCCTTAAAAGGGGGAAAAAACAAATTAACGAACCGCTTCACATTGTGACAGTTCACACATTATTACTGCGAGAGGCGGTCATGACACTAGTCCTGCAGAATGCAGAATATTGATACAATTTTGTTACAAGCAGACGTAGCAGAATAGTGCATAATGCGGCATAACCCTACGAAAACATGCAGACAGATCACAGATGATTTACAGTATCCAAACTACAACACACAGAAGTTACCTAGGAAAAATCCAACAAGAACTATCCCAAGATTATTCACTTCGGAAAATCTGACCATATACAAAACATCACAGATTCCTCCTATACATGCAGACTATCCTAAACCTGCTTCATCGTTGCAGCAAAAAAGCGGTAGAAAAACTATGCATCACGGTTTAGATAACGACCCTTGGACTAGCTTTTTCCGGTCTGAAGAGAGATGATCAAGCAGCACTCAAGCAGTTCTCCCATGTCCCATACCTTGAGCTAAAACTGCCTCCACCACTCTGCCGTGCATGCTCGGAAATAACTGCACATGCACAAACATCCCAGGTCCTTGCTATCTCCCCAAGGGACATGGGTTCTGAAATACTTCGTAGAGATATGCTAAACTTTGACTTTGCTTTCACAGAAAGATCTTCATACTCCTCACTGCCAAAGCAGAACAGTAAAGTCAAATTTATGCTTAAAAGAAAACCTTTAGAATTTAACACATGAAAGCAAAATGAGTACATAAACTCAGAAGAGAACTGAAAATAAATAAAGAGATTCTTTGTTTGACCATTACAGCGCCACATACTGTTACCGACAGAAACTGAGGAATAGATTCTTTGTTTGATCATTACGGCATGTTGCGTTTGAAATAGGATTTCACCAGAATGGGGGTAAATAAGAAAGGACATAAGCCCATATGGCTGAGAATTCTCAATAAGAAATGCTACATCTCTTAGTTTATGTAACAGCAGCAGCAGCAGCAGAATGTAGAGGCAGAGTGCCTATCCTCACCTGACTTCAACTGGAAACTTGTCCAAGAGTATTGGAGAGCAGTTGGGATAATTGCTGGGAACAAGCAGTCTTAATGGCTGAATTGGTGACTGCACCATATTAAAGGCAGGTAAATACGAAATATAAATATCTTGAAGACAGGTAAGAAGTCATTGCATTAATGTTTGAGAGCCCACCATCTGTGCTGAAGCATACTGCGATTTCAAGTCCGGACCGAAAGCCACAGCATCAAAAAAGCACTTGAAAATGGTTCCTTTACCCCCATCAGCAGCAGGTGCACTAGGGTCATCATCTTCATCACTGATATCAATAACTGTGTTGATCAACCGCTGCCTTATTTCTCTTATTTCTTCCAAAAGAGCCTGGTGACCAGAAATTGAAATACTTTGAGACGGGGAACTGTTTAAACAAATAACATTGAGTTAAGACCAGCAATAAATGATATGTGTTCAGGTTGGTTCAGAAATTTCTTGGTCCAGTAACGAATCTCTCATTATGCCCTCAATGCCCTCAAATGCACTTTTTTATTTTTTCCTAAACACAAACAATCACTTCATTCAACAAAAGTTTCTTTTTTCCTCTAATCTAAAAGCAATGTAACATCTTTAACAGTGGACTCACACGGAGGCAAGTGCCTCACTCAGAATGTGCCAAAGCACTCCAGGCACACAAGAAGCATATGCATATAGGTGTGCAGGAAAGCAACTAACTTTGCAGTCTTGCTGGAAATTTCATTTCATGATGTGATATTCCTTTTTAATATTTTAAGTGTGCCCAATCAAAGCTTTTACAACTGCAACAGCTGTCATTTCTAGAAGCATATACCAAAAAAAGGATTAATACCTCAATCCTAGGCCTCTTGATACGAGATGTTGCAGTTGACTCCAGGTCAGATGTCTCTGAACTGGCCAACTGCCTGAAACTATCATTGCCAGCTGATGGCACAACATTTAAGGGCATGGCACTAGCGAAGCGTCTTATTTTCCTAGACCCATTTGTTTCATCACGAGTCAAAACATTCCCTCCTTGCCGACAACACTTTGTCATGGTAATCAAATCCCCACCAACTGCATCTCTAGATCCCTTGCCTGGTGCTGACCCTGCTATCCTACTCATACTCACTACTGAGCCAATGTCACTGACTGAGGCACTCAATGCATTTGAAGACATCGATTTCACCTGAAAGTTCAAATTACATAAATTTTAAGTCAAACACGGTTGAAGGAATTTGAGGAAAACAAGAACTTAGAAAGTATTTACAAAACATATATAGCGCGCACAGAGAGAGAGAGAGAGAGAGAGAGAGAGAGAGAGAGAGAGAGAGAGAGAGAGAGAGAGATGTAAACGAATCAGCTTTACTAACCGCTTTAATCAACCGTTCAAGAGGCTGCTCTGTAACATTTGACTTGCCAGAAATAGTTGACAAAGCATTAACATGAGTACCGTCTGGTACACTATATTCAGCAAGCAAAGGAGAGGCTGATATCCCAGGGGTGCCAATGGCAAGGGACTGGATCTGTGATCCGACACCAGTTGCTTGTAGATGCCCAATCTTCCCAGCATTTGCGAGTGAGGAGGGTTTCTCAGAATCCCCTGGCATAGAGGATGGAGCCATCGGAGTTGAAGGAGATGGGATGACATATGGGGAGCTAGAAGTTCCAGCTTTTGTGTGAGCCAGTAGATTCTGCTGGTCATTTTGGGGTGAAGAATGTTGCAAAATTTTAGGGGATGCAGCCTGAAGGAATTGGGTTGTTGATGAAATAGGAAATGGAGATCCTGATTTCAATTGCTGATGGGAAAAAGCACGCTGGCCTGCAGCTCGTCTCATCTTTAACTCATTTACATAATTGATTTGGTGCTCCTGCTGTCGTTTTATATGCTGGTGTTGAAGCATACCAGAATTTGACTGAATGGAATTCATGTTTGCCTGTAGCATATTAACCCCACTCTGTGATGACAAGGCATTCATATTCTCTTGTTGGGGAGCACTGACAGGAGTTTGTTGGTTGCTGCCCACAGGAACCTGCTGCAATGAGTTCAGTGCATTTCCTTGCCCTGAATCCATGTTGGAACTAAGCTGCAATGAAGTCATCATGTTCTGCTGTGCTGTTGAAAACCCTGATAAAGAAGACACAAGATTTTGCTCCAATCTTGTCATATTGTTCTGCTGCATTGTTGCCACAGAACCTTGTATGTTAATTGATTGCAACTGTGGGTTCATTTGATTTTCATGAGATTGCACTTGAGTAATTTGAGTTTGTGACTGCTGCATGGAGTGCATATGAGGTGAGGAAAACTTTTAAAACCCTAAATAAATTGTAAAATAAGAAAGAAACAGAGAACTGATTATAAAAACAAAAAAACAAAAAAAATAAAAAATTTGTGGCTGCCACAGCTGGGAACCATGCAAGCCAGAAATCTTTTGTTTTGTCGATAAAAGTTTTCTTTTGTTGGGGTTAAAGGAGGGGGAAGGGCACAACACAAGAACAGTTTCGGAATATTGGTAGATGATGCAAGTAGATTAAGATTTTTAAAATTGTGTGGCAGTATGGGTGGATAAATAGTAAAAGGGTGGCCACAAAGCCACTCTGTTTTTCACGTGGAATGCATTAATCATTCATGATACTGTCATGCAGTACTAATATTATTTCATGCAATAACAATCAGGTAGCACTGGACTAAAGAGTATTTTTCATAAAATTTAGCTTCGTTTTTCTATATCACATGAGAACAGCATTTTCTTCTGAACAATGCCATCCTAGGTTATATTACCTGCTATGCCGTGTTTTCTATTATAATAGTAATAATTTGTTTATATATATATATATATATATATATATTTTATATATCATTATCATTACGTTCTGTTGTTACAGAAGCTAATTACATTCCCTATGAATCCTGTATATAATACCTTCTTTTTCTTTTTTGAAAAGGATAAATAATACCCACACATAGCAAAAATCCTGTAACCGGGAAAAAAAAAAAAAATGCCAACCCAAAATTGCACCTTTCTTTCTAATCATATATCCTAGTGAATACCCTTGAATGGAAAACAAGTCAGGACATCTTACTTTTTGATAGACCAGCTCTTGCCAATCACCCCTAGTTGCATGTCCAGTCTGGGCTGCGGAATCTGGAGATGCAATGCAGAAATATGCGTCAATGTAAGCACATAAGATTGTACAAAATTTGATTATGAGGGTTATAATTTTGAAAAAGCATTGCCTGCAGAAGCGGTAAGAAAAATGGAAAACTATCCTGCCCAAAACAGTTAAAGATGCGTTTTTCGTAAAATAGAATGAAAATATCATTCCCTACAGCATTAGCAGTCTAAGAACATACTAGAAGCTTCATGAGCTGAAGCGGAACAGGAATACGTATGCAGTAAATTGTAGATAGTACATTGATGGGCAACTACATTTACTAAACACAGTAGCATAACCATAAGGCTCCACCCAAAACCCTTTATCTATAAACCAATTGAAGCAAACCTGAAGAAATAAAAGGCTATATTTTCAAAACTAAAAGGGAAGAAAGACACTTCAGATGAGGCTTCACAATTACTTTTTACCAAAGAAAAAAAAACTTTTAGAGTTGAATATCAAGAGAAAAGGCGTTAACAATATGTATAAACATTTTCTCTACCACCATACGTCATGAAAAAACTAAGACATCAATCAAATCACAGACATAATATCTCCAAACAACTTCAATTACAAACATGAAGCACCAGAGTTGAAAGGTACACTTACGGGAATCAAGGTGGTAATATACCCATTTTAGGGGGTTTTGTAACTATTTCCCTGTCCTTCAGGATTATTATTTCATATAACTATGTCATGATCCTTGTGGGGTTTTTCTTTCTATAATTGAACTGCAGGTCAGCCTACTGATATTAAGAATACAAGAACAAAGTTGAAATTTTTTTCATCAATTTGGGATTTAGCTTCTTTTATCTTTATTCCTGTGTCAACACCCTCTGTTCCTTTTACATTTAAACCACACTGATCATCAAATTACCAAACACAATTCACAAATTTCACGTCCACTAGATATTGCTAAGTAACATTTAAAACACAAAAAAGGACAAACAAAGATGTATCATAAAAACAAATAAATAATTACGGAGCCTGTCTACATCACAACACCAGATAAATCACATAAAAAAAGACAACGTTGACCCATAATGCAATATGGTAATAGGCCCAAAATCAAAGTAAAATAAAAATATAGAATACTAAAATTTCGCCCAAAACATGCATCTGTCTGAATAACCTGAAAGCACATGCATTAAAAGGTCAACAAATAAAAGGGTACTGAACTGCATAATTTCAAAAGTCGTGCTCGATGATGTCTCAGGAAGGAAGCTCTGAGATTGATATAACTGCTTTTGCTGATCCCTTACGTTTAGGGATTGATGCTGCTGTTGCTGTTGAAGAACTACCTCTTGCATTCCTTGCATTTGCCTTTGAGAACTAGCAGACATATGGGAGGGTACCCTTGGCCCATGGAGTTCCCAAATGAATTATGTGAAGTTCCAGACATGTTTTTGATGTTTGGATTTTGTCCAACAGTACTTGAAATGGGAGTCTGGGTTAAACCGGAAGAAGGTAGTGCAGATGATAAGCGAGCAGAACTTTGAACTCCAGTAGGTGGAATGTTATTCTGAATGTTCTGTGATAAGAGTTGTTGGTGTGATTGACATTGATTAGCTGACAATGGTATAGAGAGTGATAGCCCTTGATTGGGGACTTGGGGTTGAATACCAAAACACCCTACTCAAGTAAAATAGAAAGAATAAACACCAAATAAATAAACAAATGTGAAATCAGGTATACGATAAATTCCATTTATTCTCATCAATTGATCCCTTGCCTTAAAAACTAAAGTAAAAATTATATAGCAACCAGATTCTAGTCTTGAATTTTCACCATACAAGCCTATATAAATGTTTGTGTGTGTATGTGTGTCAACAATGAATCTTCTCAGGTAAGAAATATGGGAATAAGGAGACAATAGAACTTTTCTAGAATTTACCCTTCAAGAAAAAAGCTACGCTTAGAATACAAAAACAACTATTACTTAGTTTGTAGTGCATTGCTTGGAGAGAGGTTTAATTTTTTTGGAGGAAAGAAACAGGGAGAAGTTCTGGGAAGATGTGCTTTGTTGGCAGTTTTTTGGGTAGTGTGGGTGGAAAGGAGTAGGAGAGTTTTTGAAAATGTCAAGGGTGATTAGATAGATCAGTTATGGAATCGGATTCGGTTTTGGGCATCCTTGTGGGCATCTACTTCATCAGAGTTTAGGAAGTTCACCCTTTATTTTATCTATTTGGATTGAAGGCAGTAGTATCGTAAATATATTTATTTCAAGTAAAATGTGGTAGAGGTGTCCTAGTTAAAATTTTGGTGGTGGTACTTTTGTTCACTAATTACATACTGGCTTTTTAAATAAAATTGTTGTTATGCAGGCCGGGAGAAGAAAGGGGTAGTTGACAGTGTGCAGCTGAAATTTGTTCAGGTGCATGAAATAGTAACATAGTTTTCATAATTGTTTTTACCTGGATCAGGGGGCCTGTTGATATTACCAGCAGAGTTCATTGGTAAAGAATTTTCTATTGCATTCTGAGATCTGGTCTCCAGTGAGTATATCTTCAGAGCAATTTTCTCAAAATAATCCGACTGTACAAGGCAATCCATGCTAAACTTAGAATACATTGTTATCCAAAATGTAAAGAAAGTTGAAACACAGACAATATCTATTTAAGAAACTGCATGCGTAATAGAATAGGTACATATCTAAGTAAGCTTGCATGTCTTGTACCATGAAAAATTAGGACCATGGTTATGGAAATACCTCGCTTGTGGCAGCAGTATAAATCATTTCCTCAAACCTTACAGCAATTTTCTTGTGCTCCGGTGAGCTCTCTTGACCAGAGCAGGGGAAATGCCTCTTCAATGTATCCATTCTTTATATGCAGTACATTTAAAATAAGTTACTGACAACCAAGGCATGGAGGTAGTGTTCATAACCACAAAAGTGAATTCATCAGGATAAATAATTTAATCCAATTAGCTTTCTCTTAAGAAATTTGTTTTTTTCAACGGGATTAGTGATCTTAGGTTCGAACTCCATGGCACCTTGGTGTGAGAAACCCATTCCCCTATAGTTTAGACTATTGCTGGTACTAAAATTAAAATAAAACGCTTACATCATGTTGACAATTCTTTGCCTTGACTCTAGCTGCAATTGACTCCCCCAATTGCCTGCATCCATGGAGGGCTCTCTAACTTGAGGAGGCCTCCAATTATTGGTAGCCATCAAAATCCAAGGAACCCAACAAACTGTCAATAAAGAAAAAGCCACAAAATTTAGAAACTTCAATGAAAACGTACGAAAGGGGTACAAAATTTGTACAAATCTAGATAAACTTGAACGATGATACACACTTGTGTCAGAAAATGCATCCATCTAAGCTGGTTTTAAACATGATTTTGTCATGAAAATCTCCAATATACAATCCCTAAATTCACATATGCAAAACCAAAACTTAAGATTCACATACAATCGAAAACCCAATACAGTTCACGCCGATCAGAGGAAAAAAAAAATTACAGAACAAAATTGATACCAAAAATAAAAAATTTCCGTTTTCTTTGAAAAGTTTCTGGATATTGCCCAATTAGGAAAATAGGGCTATAGGGGAAACAAAGGAGGTCATCAGGCTCAAAGACTCAAATTGGAGAACCTTGAATGAAACTCGTTATGTTTATGGTGTTTTTTGGCTTGTGCCAATTGGTTTTTTACTTAAGACTTAAGAAAGAGTATCCAAAAAATTTTAAAAAGAAAAAAGCAGAAAATAGAGAAGTTTTGTGCGATGAAAAAAGGATCATGTTCTTATTTTAAATTTTTAATATGAGAATATGTTAATTTACTATATCATCGAAATAGTTTCAATGATTAATAAACTCATTAAATAACATCAATCTTTGGTATTTTGAATGTTTTATTATTTTATACTTTTTTCTTTAATAAACATGTAAGATGGTGATTTTCTCTTCATTTTTACTTTTCTTACTTGTTGTAACAAAAAAGGCAAAATGTATGCAATTCTCTTCATTTAAAAAAAATATATATAGTATAGCCGTGCGGCTTTTACGCGGCACTTTTTTTAAAATTTTTTTTCTTAATAAATCGTATAGTCGATGGCTGTACTATTTATATATATATATATATTTGCTTGGATCCTTTTTTTTTTCTTTTAATTTTTTTCCCCGATTTTCTTTTACCAATAAGAGTAGTTTAGAGTATTATCTATTACTACTAGTCGCGCGGCGATACTCGGTTTTTTAGTTTTTTTTTCATAAATAGTATAGCCGTGTGGCTATACATTTTTTGACACGTGGGTGCCTAGTCGCTAGGTGGGTTTTTATTTTTTATAAATTGTATAACCGTGCCGCTATACTTGATTTGTTTTCATTTTTATATATATAAAAAAAAGTATCGTTGCGCAGCTTTACTCAGCACTTTTTAAATAAATAGTATTGTCAAGCGGTTATACTCTTTATATATATATATATATATATATATATGCTGGGTGTAAGGGCCTTTTTCTTATGGTAGTTACAAATAGGCTGGGCTGTCGTAAGGAGTGAACTAATGAAATTATCCCTTGTGCCTGAGTTCAGAAATCAAGCCCCAAGTATGCTTCGAAAGGACAGTAGAGCCTTAGGAAACATCTTGGTTACCTTCACTAACAAAAATAACAGTAGCTTACAGATGAATTCTTAGTGCTTACAAATAGAATCTTAGCTTGGTATGATAGCCTTATGGCATTGGAGCAAAGTTGTCGTGAGTTTAGCTTCAAAGGGGGAAAGAGTTGTGAGTTTCTATGAAAAACAAGAGTTCTAAGGAAAAGGAGGAAATGATTATCAGAGGTTTTGGCTGAGAAGAGGAGAGAGGCTAGGAAATGGGTGACTTAAGTATTTTTTCGGCAGCTCGACAGAGGTTTTGTCAAGCATCAGAACGATCTGCCAAGAGGAAAAACAAGGGGGAGAAGGGTGAATTGAGCACAAAATTGCTGGGTTTTGGAGGTACAAGAGTAAGCTTGCTCTCTGGATGTGGTTGTCCCTTTGTTGGGTAGAAGAGGTCTTATTTATAACTGCTGGAAGCTATTCTTTTCCAAAAAACCCTAATGGTTTCTATCCAAATTGGCTAAGCTTTTCCCTTTTTTTCTTCTCCCTTCCTCTGACTTATCTTATAATGGTAAAAATCCCCTCTGCCCAATCTCACAAAATTAGGGATTTTTGGGAGCTCAATACTCTTCCCGCAGCTACCCTAGTGGAGAACTCCTATTCTCAACCATCCCCTTTCCCTTCTTTTCTTCCTTCTTTCATGGCCAGATCTGATGAAGGAAAGAAATGGGTATACATGCTGGTTCGAAGGGTGCCCCTATTCCTGGTAGCCTGCCTGCTAAAATCCCCTGGTCTTTTGAATGCCTTTACTTGAAATTTGTTCCCCATCCCCATGTGATGGAGCTTTCCAGCAGCTCTGCGTACGTGGACATCCTTGCTCCCTTTATGGCTTTTGTTTTTCAGCTAAGTGTTGAGGCTTTTGCAGGTCTTTATTTTAGTTACATGGGCCTTCTAGGACAATGGGTTGGTTTATCTAATAAATGGGCTAACCTTACCAAGTGTTGGCCTATTTTGTTGAGGTGTTGGGCTAATTTGGTTAAGTTAATAGGCTATTTTGGCTAAGGTAATGGACTATTTTCTCCTTTGTACTCACCCACAAGTTTGGGCCTAAGAAATGAGCTTGAGTTCTGAGACTCCCAAGCAACCCGGAACCTCTATTTCTCAGCTCATCAATGGGCCTCATGACAACTTATTACCATCCATACCACAATCCACTCAAGCAAGCCATGGACATCGAGTGGCTTGGCCCCACTTAGGCTTGTAGCGTAGTTGGGTGTGCAATAATAATTTCCTGCTTAACATGGCATGTCGCTTGGCATGCTTTTAATTATGATGCTTGATGGGATAACTAGCATGGATTTGCAGAGCTAATGCATTTTATAATCTAATCTCGATTCCTAGCATGATGGGTTATTTATTTGGCATGGCACGTGGACTGTGACTCGCATATGGCGGGGTTTCATGTACTCTGCTTTACGCCTTTTTCTTAATAAGGTGTTGCGTCGGAGATTTATTTGGGCCTAACCATGGACTTTTTTGGGCCTCAACACTGGGATCCTTTTATTCTTTTAAATTTTTTTTCTTCAATTTTCTTTTATCGATAAGAGTAGTTTAGAGCAATATTCATTACTATTAGGTCATTACCTGAGTCTCTATTGTCCCCTTTTAATTTTTTACATTTCTAACTTATTTTAACAAATATACAAGATGGTGATTTTGCAATCTCTTTGCCAATTAGAACAACAATTTCAAACAAAGATTTATGGGTATATCAGTAAGAGAGGTGCTAGTATTCTTTATGTAAATTGTTGTTTGGAAAGTGAAGTAATTACTAAGAACATTCTAACTCAGCATGCAATTCTCTATGATAAAAAATGTGTGCAGTAATCAAATTTAATAGCACTCGAGAGAACGAGGTCGAACAAAGACAAACATTCCCACACCCAAAAAAAAAAAAAAAAATTGAACTCTCCGATTGATTTAGTATGAAGTTTAAGTCTCTTCAATATCAAATGAGGAAATGTTAAACTAGCAAAGTAATATCTATAAAATATAAACTAATGCAAAAGGAGGGTCCTTTTTTCTTAATTTTTTTTTATATTAAATAGTATAGCTGCTCGGCTATACCTTTTAAATATAATATATTCAACGCGTATAGCCAGCCGGCTATACTATGGTTTTGATTTAAAAATAGTATAGCCGCGCGGCTAGACTGTTTTTGACACGTGGATACCTATGCACTAGGCATTCGTTTTGTTTTTTTTTTTTTGTTTTTTTATAAATAGTATAGCCCAGTGGCCATACTCGGGTTTTTATATTTTTTTAAAAATTAGTATAGCTGAACAGCTATAATATTTCTAAACACGTGGGCGCCTAATCGCTAGGCAAGTCCTTTTTTCATAAGTAATATAGCCACGCGGCGATACGTGGTTTTTTTCATTTAAAAACAAATAGGACAGCCCCGTGGCTTTACTCAACACTTTTTTTAAAAATGTTTTTTTTTTATAAATAGTATAGCCGAGAGGCTATACTATATATAATATATGCTCGGATCCTTTTTTTCTTTTAAATTTTTTTCCCCAATTTTCTTTTATCGATAAGAGTAGTTTAAAGCAATATCCATTATCCACAATGAACTCTCTAAACCATCTACTTAGACAAATTTTATGGAGGAATTAGAAAAATACAATTACAACCATGTTTTCTGTCCACCTCCTAAAATAGGGAGACCTCTAGGAGCTCCAAAATCTAAGAAGAGAGAAGATTCCTAATGGCTCCCTATAATTTAATGTTGTTTTTTTTTTTGGACGAAATAATGTTATTTTATGCATATTTTAAACTTTTAATTAACGCAAACTATTTTTTTAATATTACTTTGTATAGAGATGGATAAATTATATTGAATTAAAAAATAATTTTAGTATTTATGACTCTCTAAACTAAGGAGTATGATTGGAGTTCAAATTTTATAGAAAGCTCCTAAAATAACTTATGTGTATTTTTAACTAAATTTTAACTAAAAAATAGGGAACATAATTGTAGATGCTCTTAAACATAAACATACTTCTCTATAGAGAGCCTGTGCAACTGACATTGCATTGCATCCTTTTGCTGATTCAGATAGAAGAGAAGGTGTTCCAAATTTTGTTATCAAGTGCTACACGGACTCCAAAACGTCCTCTGCCCACCCCAGCACATATGTACCTGGCCCCAACCCCAGCCCCAAGCCCGGACAGATCGGATCGAGTCCATCCGATCTGACCACAAGAAGGTCCTCACTCAGATGAAATTCTTCTTATTTCTCCAGGGATATCCATCTTATAGAACCACCAGGAGAAGGGGATGGGAATATTGATACAATTTGTCACAAACAGACAGCAGAATACTGCATATAATGGGGCATTTTCAACCCAACGAAAAAGACACAGATCACAGATGATTTACAGTATCCAAACTACAACACACATATGTTACCTAGGATAAATCCAACAAGAACAACCCCCAACATTATTCACTTTGGAAAATCTGGCCATATACAAAACATAACAAGTTCCTCCTATACACGCCTTAACCTATAGACCATCCAAAAATTGCTTCATCATTGCAGCAAAACAGCAGTAGATAAATTATGCATCACGGCTTATTCCAGGTCTGAAGAAGGATTATCAAGCAGCACTCAAGCAGTTCTCCCATGTCCCATACTTCGAGCTAAAACTGCCTCCACCACTCTGCTGCGCATGCTCGGAAATAACTGCACGTGCACAAACATCCCAAGTCCTTGCTATCTCACCAAGGGACATGGGTTGTGAAATGCTTCGTAGAGAGATGCTAAACTTTGACTTTGCCTTTACAGAAAGATCTTCATACTCCTTACTGTCAAAGAAAAACATTAAAGTCAAATTTATGCCAAGTATTCTCAGTAAGAAATGCCACATCTCTTAGTTTATTTAACAGCAGCAGCAGTATGTAAAGTTGGATTGCTTATTTCCTCACCTGACTTCGACTGGAAACTTGTCCAAGAGTATTGGAGAGCAGTTGGGATAATTCATGGGAACAAGCAGTCTTAATGGCTGAATTGGTGACTGCACCATATTAAAGACAAGTAAATACAAGAAATATCAATATTATGAACACAGGTAACAAGTCATTAAATTCACATTTGCGAGCCCACCATTTGTGCTGACGCGTACTGCGATTTCAAGTTTGGACTGAGAGCCACAGCATCAAACGAGCACTTGACAATGGTTCCCTCACCCCCTTCAGCAGCGGCTGCACTAGGATCAACATCTTCATCACTGATATTAACAACTGTGTCGATAAGCCGCCGATTTATTTCTCTTATTTCTTCCAAAAGAGCATGATTAGCCTGCAAGATAAGCCACATAATTAATCACGTCCACTGAAGAAGCAGGATTAAGGTTGGTTCCGCAATTTCCTGATCCAATAATGAATCTCTCTCTCCCCACAGAGGAAAAAAATAAGAGAACATTATTCCCTCAAATGTCCTTTTTTTTTCTTCTTAAGCACAAGAACTTTATTCCCAAAAAGTTGCTTTTCTTCTATAATCTAACAACAATGCAGCACCTTAAACAGTGGACTCACAGTTAACATCTACTGCCCATCTTTATAATATAAAAATATAATAAAAGTATTCCAAAGAGGCAAATGCCTCATCTCAAAATGTGCGAAGGCAGGCAACTAGTTTTCATTGCTTGATGAGTATATACCACAACAAAAGTTTAATACCTCAATCCTTGGCCTCTTGATACGAGATGTTGCAGTTGACTCCAGATCAGATGTCTCTGAACTGGTCAACTGCTTAAAACTATCATTCATGCTGCCAGCTGATGACACCACATTTAAGGGCACGGCACTAGTGTAGCGCCTCATTTTCCTAGTCCCATTTGTTCCATCATGAGTCATAACATTTCTTGCTTGCAGACGACACTTTGTCATGGCAACTAAATCCTCACCAACTGCAGCTCTGGATCCATTACCTGGTGCTGACCCTGCTATCCTATCAATCATACTGACTACGGAGCCAATGTCACTGACAGAGGCACTTAATGCATTTGGTGACATCGATTTCACCTGAAAGATACAATTACAGAAATTTTATCCAACCGAGGGGATTTGATGAAAACAAGAACTTAGTACGTATGTTCTGAAACATCATTTTAACCACTCCGAGAGAATCAGCTTTACTAACCGCTTTAATTAAGCGTTCAAGAGGCTGCTCTGTAACACTTGACTTGCCAGAAATAGTTGACAAAGCATTAACATGAGTATCTGGTACGCTAAATTCAGCAAGCAAAGGAGAGGCTGATATCCCAGGGGTACCAATGGCAAGGGACTGGACCTGCGCTCCGACACCAGTTGTTTGTTGATGTCCGACATTCCCAGCATTTGAGAGTGAGGAAGGTTTCTCAGAATCCCCTGGCATAGGGGACGGGGCCATGGGAGTTGATGGAGACGGGATGACAAAAGGTGAACTAGCAGTTTGCAATGGGGTTCCAGCTTTTGGGTGAGTCAGTAAATTTTGCTGGTCAACTTGGGGAGAAGAATGCTGCGAAATTTGTGGAGATGCAGCCTGAAGGAGTTGGTTTGTAGGAAATGGAGATCCTGATTTCAACGGCGGATGAGGATAAGCACGCTGGCCTGCAGAGAGATGTTGCTGAAAAACCCCTGGCTTTACACCCATCCCCTGTCTCATCTTCAAGTCATTTACGTCATTCATTTGATGAAGCTGTGGAATTTGCTGTTGGTGCGCCTGCAACTGTGCTGGAAGCTGCTGCTTTGCTTGCAGTTGTAACTGCTGCTGCTGCTGCTGCTGCTGCTGCTGTTGATGTTGCAGTAACTGCTGCTTCTGCATCAATTGCTGCTGCATCTGTCGATGTTGAAATTGTTGCTTGAGTTGATTCTGAAACATTTGATGTTCCTGCTGTTGTTTCAAATGCTGGTGTTGAAGCATACCAGAATTTGACTGAATGGAATTCATGTTTGCCTGTAGCATATTAACCCCACTCTGTGATGACAAGGCATTCATATTTGCTTGTTGGGGAGCACTGACAGGAGTTTGCTGGTTACTTCCCACAGGAACCTGCTGCAATGAGTTCAGTGCATTCCCTTGTCCTGAATCCATGCTGGAACTAGGTGGCAATGAATTCATCATGTTCTGCTGTGCTGTTGAAACCCCAGATAAAGCCGACATAGAACTTTGCTGCAAGCTTGTCATATTGCTCGGCTGCATTGGTGCCACAGAACCTTGCAAGTTCATTGATTGCAACTGTGGGTTCATTTGATTTTCATGAGATTGCACTTGAGTAATTTGAGATTGTGACTGCTGCATGGAGTGCATATGGGGTGGGGGGAGCTGCCCTTGCTGCAGAGAAGAAACTGGCTTCCTAGGTCTATTTGTATTAATAAAATTTACTATCTGCTTTTCGTATAAAAGCAACTTCTCCTTCAAACCAGGTGAAATGTTACTTTTGGAAATCTGTAAGACTGATATGAGGCGCTCTAACATGGTCCTGAACATTTTCAGTTTGTCAAGCTGCTCTGATTTTGGTTGTTGTGGAAGCGAATCATGCTGGCAAACAGAGAGAACAATATATATGATGAGTAAGCAAAAAAACAACCAATATTAGAAGTAACAAGATTTTGTAGCAAATAATATTATTGGCATTGTAACTAAAAAAGGTAAAATTTTATTGGCATTGTTGGTGGGGTAGCAGTCCCATGTAGACAGTATACATGGCTGGAATAAGTAAAAGGTAGATCCAGTTGAGGGATCTATCATCGACCATCACCACAATATCCTTGAAGAGAAAGGCTGCTCAATGGTAAATGTTGAGCAACAAATAGTATAGGGAAAAAAAATGAAGTGATTACAAACCTGCTGAAGTTTAGTAGCAATTTTCTGATACATTTCACTTAGTTCGGGTAAGTACATCTCCTTCATGACTTTGATCTGCAAAAATGGAGTAAGAAAGGCAAAGATAATTAGAAAGGACTTTGTTGTAGCTACATGCTTGCAGATACCCTGCCGTCAATTCCCTTTTCAATCCTATATCACATGTGAACGCAATTGTCCTGAAAAGTGTATTCCTAAGTTATATTACCTTCTATGCACTTTTTTCTATACTAAACCATGCATTTTTATATATTCCTACATGATCACCAGTATCTACCCTTGTTACAGCAGTTAATTACACTCCCCACAAATCCTGTATATAATCCCAACACAAATAGCCAAACCCCAAATTGCGCCTTCTCTTTCTTTCTAATCTTATATCCAACGTGAATGCCATTTAATGGACAACAAGTCAGGGCATCTTACTTTTTGAAATACCTCCTCTTGCCAATCACCCCCAGTTGCATGTCCAGTCTGGGCAGTGGAATCTAGAGATGCTACAAAATATACAGAAATATATGTCAGATATTTGCACATAGACGGTTATGATTTAGACAAATCATTGCCTGCAGAACATTGATAAAGAAAAACGTAAAACTATCCTGTCCAAAATAGTTTAAAATGTATGTTTGTAAAATAAAATTAAAAATATCATTTCATTACATAAGCAGTTTAAGGACACAGTTGCAGAACATTGATAAAGAAGAATGGAAAACTATCCTGTCCAAAATAGTTTAAAATGTATGTTTGTAAAATAAAATTAAAAATATCATTTCATTACATGAGCAGTCTAAGGACACAGTAGAAGCTTCATGAGCTAAAGCGGAACAGGACTATGCAAGCAATAGATTGTGGACAATCCATGGCAACTATATTTAATAAACAAAGTAGCAAAATAATAAGGCTCCACAAAAAAAACTCTTCATCTATGAACCAATTGAAGCAAAATTCATAAATTAAAAACCATATTTTTAAAACCAAAGGGATGAAAGACACTTCAGATAAGATTTTGCTCCTAGTTTCTGCTTATGAGGAAAAGTTTCACATCTACTTTTTGCCAAAGAAATAGAAGCGTTTGGAAAAGAGCTTAACAATATGTAAGAACATTCTCTAACACCGTAAGTCAAGAAAAAACAAAGATGCAAAATCTGAAGTAAAATGAAATAAAAGCTTCAGCTTTCATCAGTAAAGTCAAAGTTATAAAATCTTCAAGCAACTTTGATTATAAACAAAAAGCACCAGAGTTGAAAGGTATACTTATGGGACTCAAGGTGGTCTATATGCCTATTTTAGGAGTAGACGCAAAACTAGTAACAAGGCTATTTACATACAATCTATTCTGTCAGTAGGCTTACTATTTCCTTATCCTTGTGGATTATTTCCTATATATATATTTTTTTTGGAATAGAAACTATAAAAATTCAAAGAGATAAACAAAGAAACAAGCAACTGGATAAGGAATCCACAAGAGCAAAACAAAAGAAAACAGCAACCTCAAGACCAAAACAAACAAAGGAAAACAGGACAAAAGCAAACAAAAAGGCCACCCCGGAAAAAAGAAAAGAGCAACACATCACTTCACAACCGCTAACAAGTCTCGCATAATAGAAGAGACAGCCAAATCCTTAAAAACAGGAGTAACTGAAGCCCATAAAGCCTATTTCCTATCTAATCAGGTCAACTCTATAATTGAGCCCTAGTTCCGCCTATGGATATTGAGAATACAAGAATAAAGCTGAAATTTTTATCTTGAATTTGGTATTTGGCTTCGTTTATCTTTCCTCCAGTGTGCTGCATCCTATATTAGTCAACGCCCTCAATTCCTTTCATATAAACTTAAACCACACTGAGCATCTATTTAGCATACACAATTCACAAAATTTTATGTCCACTAGATATTGCTAATTAACCTTTTAAAAAATGTAAACTTGACATGGCTTGTTTTAGCTCTATCTTTTAATATAACCGGACATTTTGCATAGGAAAAGACACTGTATGTGGTTTAACAATATAGAGCACACAACCAGGGATAAATGTGTTTGACAGATAAAGGATGATGCACCTATTTAACAGGATTGTATACACTACTCTACTGTGTGTTTGTATTGTGCTTCAGTGATGGTCACAGCAAACAATCAGTAAACTATCTAAGTTTTGAAACTATAAAAGTATAAAGGTGGAGTGCACCTACTTGGCATGATAGCTGGCACAAACATTCTGTTGACTAAGTCCATTGTGCATCCATGTATATTGTAATAAAAGAAGTCACATATGAGAAGATAACATTCCAAAGTTCGATTATTTTCATGGAATCTAGACCCATACATCAAGCAGGCATAACAAAATATATTTCTCCATAAGTCATCCAAAAAAAGTGTAGCACCACAAAAGCAAACATACAAATAAGAAGCCTGTTTGCATCACAAAACCAGCTAAATCTCATAAAAGTGACAGCGTTGACCCATAATGCAACGGCCCAAATGAAAAGTAAAATTCTATCCAAAACATGCATCTATGATAATCTAAATAATATGAAATCACATGCATAAGAAAAGGAACAATTACAAGTGTTGGAAACTACATAATTGCAAAAATCATACTCGATGATGTCTCAGGAAGGGGTCTTTGAGATTGATATAACTGCTTTTGCTGATCCATTACGTTTTGTGGTTGCAGCATGGTTCCAGGAACCTGGCCTGAGGCTTGAAGTCTTTGCTGCATATCTCGTTGCAGTGGATTTGACTGCTGTTGCAAACCCAATTGCTGCATCTGTGTAGGCTGTGACTGAATTTGTGACAACAATTGTTGCTGTGATGCCTGAGGTTGTGACTGCTGTCCTTGAGTGGGTAACAAGTTAGATGAACTCTGATGTTGTTGTTGCTGCCCTTGACCCTTGGATTGTTGCAACAAGTGTACAGAGTGCTGATTAGTTTGCATGCTTGAGTTACCACTTTGAGTTCCAAGGTGCTGCTGTTGCTGTAACCCAGTAACATTACTCTGAGGGCCCAACTGTGGCTGATGCATATTCGAAAGGTTGCTTTGCTGAGCCATTAACTGCTGCTGCTGTTGTTGCTGCTGTTGCTGTTGTTGCTGCTGCTGCTGTTGTTGAAGGTTTAAAATGTTATTCTGCTGGCTCAGTAACCTCTGTTGTTGCTGTTGCTGCTGCATATCCCCAACATTGTTTTGTTGTCCGATTAGCTGATTCTGCGACAAGCTTGTAGCATTTGACTGTTGCACCATAAGCTGCTGCTGTTGCTGCTGCTGTGGGGGTAATATTGGCTGTTGTGGCATTGATGTTTGCTGTTGGTGAACAACAGAGGCCTGTTGTTGTTGAGGCTGTCTGAGAACTGACTGTGGATGCTGCTGAAGCATAGATGGTGTTGACTGTTGAATTGCAGATTGTTGATTCTGCTGAAGACTAGAGAGAGATGATTGCACCATAGAAGGTTGAATAACAGATGATGTTTGCATAACAGGTTGCTGAGAAGACTGCAACTGAGTTGGTTGTAATAGGTTCGGCTGCTGTTGCTGCTGTTGGACAAGTTGTGGGATATTTCCCTGCTGATATTTGGGCTTCAAAAGTGGATGTTGCAACTGTTGGTACATATACTGCTGGGAATTCTGGGATTGCTGCTGCTGCTGCTGCTGCTGTTGTGGAACTACCTGTTGCCTTCCTGGCAATTGCCTTTGAGAAGTAGCAAACATATTGGAGGGTACCCCCTGGCCCATATTCTGCATGTTTTGATTTTGCCCAACAATACTTGGAATAGGAGTCTGGGTTAAACCGGATGAAGGAGGTAGAGCAGATGATAAGCCAGCAGAACTTTGAACTCCAGCAGCTGGAATGTTATTCTGAATGTTCTGTGATAAGAGTTGTTGACGTGCCACAGGTTGATTAGCTGGCAACGGCATAGAGAGCGATTGCCCTTGATTGGGGACTTGGGGTTGCATACCAAAAGACCCTACTCATGTAAAATAGAAAAAATAAACACCAAATAAACATTTCCAAATAGATAAAAAAAGTAATAAAAAAAAAATTAAGTAAAAAGATATAGCAACCAGATTCCAGTCTTGAAATTTCACCATACAAGCCAACAGATATAAACAATGAATCTTCTCAGGTAAGAAATGTGGGAAAAAGGAAACGATATGGTTTTTCAAGCATTTAACCATCAAGTAGAAAGCTACGTATAAAATAGAATAACAACCCACCCTCCATTTCATAAAGCATGTATGCTGGGAGAAGAAAGTAGTAGTTCACAGAGTAACTGAAAGTTGTATAGGTGCCTGAAATGGGAGCACAGTTTCCATAGTTGTTTTTACCTGGATCGTGGGGCCTGTTGCTATTACCAGCAGAGTTGGATTGTAAAGAATTGGCCATTGTGTTCTGAGACTTGGTCTCCATTGTTAGCATCTTCAGACTAATCTTCCGTAGGTAATCTGACTGTAAAAAGAAACCCATGCTAAACTTAGACTACATTGCTATCCAAAATACAAAGAAAGCTGAAACACAGACCATGTTTATTTAAGAAATTACATATGTATAGATCAGTACATATCTAAGTAGAGTTACTTGTCATATACAAAGAAAAATTAGGACCCAAGAGTTATTGAAGTACCTGGCTTGTGGCAGCAGTATAAATCTTTTCCTCAAACCTTACAGCAATTTTCTTGAGCTCCTGTAATCCCTCATGACCAGAGAAAGGGAGATGCCTCTTCAATGTATCCATTCTTCACATGCCATACATTTAAAATAAGTTACTAACAACCAAGGCATGGAGGTAGTGTTCATAACAACGAAAGTGAATTCAGGATAAATAATTCAATCCACTAAGCTGTTTTCTTACGAAAGAAACACATACATCTTGTTTACAATTCTTTGCCTTGAATCTGGCTGCAGTTGACTCCTCCAATCGCCTGCATCCATGGGGGCCTCTCCAACTTGAGGAGGCCTCCAATTATTGGTATCCATCAAATCCAAGGAACCCAACAAACTGTCAAACAAAAAAGAACAAAATATTGAGCAACTTCAATGTAAACCCACGAAAAGGGCACAAAATTTGTACAAAACATACTAAACTTAAACGATGATAAAGTTTCCAAATATTAAATCTTTTTTGTATCCGAAAAGGGATCCACTTAAGCTGATTTTAAACATGATTTTGTCCTGAAATTCTCCAATATACAATCCCTGAATTCACATATGCAAAACCAAAGCTTACAATTCACATACAATCGAAAACTCAATACGTTTTTCGACAATCAGAGGGAAAAAAACACCCAACAATGAATTTTACACCAAACCCCTAATCTGTTTCTATAGAAAAGAAGAAAAAAATCCAATAAAATTGAAAACAAAAAAATTACCGTTTCTTTATGGAGATTGAAATGTCTAGGCAGCTCGAAGCAGAAGAATTTGGGAGATGAAAGAAAAATTGCCGAAGTCGGAAATTAGGGGAAGAAGGGGGTTTTCAGGCACAAAGACTCAAGTGAAGAAATATTGAATTGATTGATGCGTTGGAACAAAACAACTAAATCCTATTTTAAACGAAGCATCAATATCTGACTTTTTTTTTGTGTGGGGTTTTTTTCAAATTTCTGATTTTTTTAGTTTGGTTCAGAGTAAGCTCATGGGGACAAAAAGACAATAAGACCCGTCTTTGAAACTTTATAAGTTGCCACTTGCCACTTATCCTTGCCCCTCATCTGGGCAATCACCCACCCCAACCGGAAACTTCCCTTTCAGTCCAGGGAAACCCTCCACTACGTCACACTTTAATTTCTTTGGATAACTAGCTTCTCAACACGCGCTCTAATCCGCGTAAATATGGCGCATATTTTAAACTACGCTCTTGACACTCGCCTGCCCATGCATCAATCTAAATTGTGTATCATTATTTTGCTTAAATTTATACTAGTCCCTTGGCGCACACATATGAATTTTTTTTTTGTTTCTTATTTTGTTTTTTAGTTTTAGAACGAGTTTTATAACTTTTGTTTTAATATATTCAAAATGCTAGCTTCTCAAAATGCAGGACATGGTTTTCTTTTCTTTTCTTTTTTTATTTATTCTTGCATTTAATATTTTTAACTGTATAACTTTATTGCTTTATCCCTGTAAAATGAAATATTTAGTTAGGATCTTTTTCTCTTAATATTTAGAAACTTAACACTAATAAAAGGGTCGTCTTTTGCTTTACCCTAAATAATCACACTCCTTTTGATATAAATTCATGGTTTATGCGTGATCCATCTAACGTTTATAAAGTTATTTAGTGTGTCGGAATTTTAGGGTGTGTAAATAAAATAGTGGTGGGTTTATATATCACATTTTGGGTGGGACACAACTTTCCATGATTAAGGTAGTGGTGGTTTGCTCAATCCTTCTTGATTTGTAAGCTTTGGGCTAAGTTCGGCCCATGAGAAAAGAGAAACTTTGCATGTGGAACAAGAATATACAACATAAAATATAAGATGTAGGATTATTACAAGCACATAATTTATAAATATAGTGTTCCTACTAGAGTAGGAGCATTAGAAACAGTTTAGAAATTGTTTCTCGCTCTTCTTCGACAAACACTCGAGTTTCTGAAATTTTTCATCACAAATATGTGCATTTTATTTAAGACCAAGTTACGAAATGTGTATATTCCACATGTCAAGGGAAGACACGATGCCGTTTCAGGTAGGAGGGGCGGCTGCGGGTGCTGTCCATGATGCAGAGCAGAAACTGGCTTCGTAGGCATAAATAAAATTTACTATCTGCTTTTCGTATAAAAACAACTTGTCCTTCAAACGAGGTGAAATGCAACTTTTGGAAATCTGTAAGACTGATATGAGGCGCTCTATCACGGTCCTGAAAATTTTCAGTCTGTCAAGCTGCCGTTGTGGAAGAGAATCAGGCTGGCAAACACAGAGAACAACATATATGATGAGTAAGCCAAAATACAACCAATATTAGAAGTAACAAGATTTTGTAGCAAATAATATTATTGGCTTTGTAACTGAAAAAGGTAAAATATTATTGGCATCGTTGGTGGGGTAACAGTCCCATGTAGACAGTATGCATAATGCATGGCTGGAATAAGTAAAAGGTAGATCCAGTTGGAGGGATCTATCATAGGCCATCACCACAATATCCTTAAAGAGAAAGACTGCTCAATGGTAAACGTTAAGCAACAAATAGTATAGGGAAAAAAAATTAAGTGATTACAAACCCGCTGAAGTTTAGTAGCAATTTTCTGATATATTTCACTGAGTTCGGTTAAGTACATCTCCTTCATGAGTTTGATCTGCAAAAATCGAGTCAGAAAGGCAAAGATGATTAGAAAGGACTTTGTTGTAGCTACATGCTTGCAGATACCATAATATCACCAGATTTCTTTGTTTCGTAGTAGCTCAAGCATCTATAAGTTTTCCTGTCCAATGCTTCAAAATACAGTATCAATGGAAAAGAGCTCATGCAACAATGAATTTGGAAAGTATGACTTCATGCATGCTTGTACATAAGGTATGGACAGTTCAGATAGAACCTGAATACGATCCTACCAAGACAGCCAAACCTACCCTAACTTCCTTTTTAATAATATAGTAATAGTGAATATAAATTGTAATCTTCTTTCTACCGATATTTACTGTTATCCCAGCAAACCCTGCCGTCAATTCCCTTTTCAATCCTATATCACATGTGAACGCCATTTTCCTGAAAAGTGTATTCCTAAGTTATATTACCTGCTATGCCCTTTTTTCTATACTAAACCATGCATTTTAATATATTCCTATATGATCAGCAGTTAATTACGTTTCCCCGCAAATCCTGTATATAATCCCTACACAAATAGCCAAACCCCAAATTGTGCCTTCTCTTTCTTTCTAATCTTATATCCAACGTGAATGCCATTTAATGGACAACAAGTCAGGGCATCTTACTTTTTGAAATACCTCCTCTTGCCAATCACCCCCAGTTGCATGTCCAGTCTGGGCAGTGGAATCTAGAGATGCTACAAAATATACAGAAATATATGTCAGATATTTGCACATAGACGGTTATGATTTAGACAAATCATTGCCTGCAGAACATTGATAAAGAAAAATGGAAAACTATCCTGTCCAAAATAGTTTAAAATGTATGTTTGTAAAATAAAATTAAAAATATCATTTCATTACATAAGCAGTTTAAGGACACAGTTGCAGAACATTGATAAAGAAGAATGGAAAACTATCCTGTCCAAAATAGTTTAAAATGTATGTTTGTAAAATAAAATTAAAAATATCATTTCATTACATGAGCAGTCTAAGGACACAGTTGCAGAACATTGATAAAGAAAAATGGAAAACTATCCTGTCCAAAATAGTTTAAAATGTATGTTTGTAAAATAAAATTAAAAATATCATTTCATTACATGAGCAGTCTAAGGACACAGTTGCAGAACATTGATAAAGAAAAATGGAAAACTATCCTGTCCAAAATAGTTTAAAATGTATGTTTGTAAAATAAAATTAAAAATATCATTTCATTAGATGAGCAGTCTAAGGACACAGTAGAAGCTTCATAAGCTAAAGCGGAACAGGACTATGCACACACTAGATTGTGGACAATCCATGGCAATTATATTTAATAAACAAAGTAGCAAAATAATAAGGCTCCACAAAAAAAACTCTTCATCTATAAACCAATTGAAGCAAAATTCATGAATTAAAAACCATATTTTTAAAACCAAAGGGATGAAAGTTTCACATTTACTTTTTGCCAAAGAAATAGAAACGTTTGGAAAACAGCTTAACAATATGTAAGAACATTTTCTCTAGCACGATAATTCAAGAAAAAACAAAGATGCAAAACCTGAAGTGAAAGGAAACAAAAGCTTCAGCTTTCATCAGTAAAGTCAAAGATATAAAATCTTCAAGCAACTTTGATTATAAACAAGAAGCACCAGAGTTGAAAGGTATACTTATGGGACTCAAGATGGTCTGTATGCCTATTTAAGGAGTAGACGCAAAACTAGTAACAATGCTATTTACATAGAATCTATTCTTTCAGTAGGCTTACTATTTCCTTATCCTAGTGGATTATTTCCTATATATTTTGTTTGGAATAGAAACTATATAAATTCAAAGAGATAGAAAAAAGAAACAAGCAACTGGATAAGGAATCCACAAGTGCAAAACAAAAGAAAACAGCAACCTCAAGACCAAAACAAACAAAGGAAAAGAGGACAAAAGCAAACAAAAAGGCCACCCAGGAAAAAATAAAAGAGCAACACAGCACTTCACAACTGCTACCAAATCTCGCATAATAGAAGAGAGCCAAATCCTTAAAAACAGGAGTAACCGAAGCCCATAAAGCCTATTTCCTACCTAACCAGGTCAACTCTATAATTAAGCCCTAGTTCCGCCTATTGATATTGAGAATACAAGAATAAAGCTGAAATTTTCATCATGGATTTGGTATTTAGCTTCGTTTATCTTTCCTCCAGTGTGCTGCATCCTATATTAGTCAACGCCCTCAATTCCTTTCATATAAACTTAAACCACACTGATCATCTAATTAGCAAACACAATTCACAAAATCTTACGTCCACTAGACATGGCTTGTTTTAGCTCTATCTTTTAACATAACCGGACATTTTGCATAGGAAAAGACATGATATGTGGTTTAACAACATAAAGCACACAACCAGGGATAAACGTGTTTGACAGATAAAGGATGATGCACCTATTTAACAGGATTGTATACACTACTCTACTGTGTGTTTGTATTGTGCTTCAGTGATGGTCACAGCAAACAATCAGTAAACTATCTAAGTTCTGAAACTATAAAAGTATAAAGGTGGAGTGCACCTACTTGGCATGATAGCCTGCACAAACATTCTGTTCACTAAGTCCATTGTACATCCATGTATATTGACTAAGTCCATTCTGTTGACTAAGCAGGCAAAACAAAATATATTTCTCCAGAAGTCATCCAAAAAAAGTGTAGCACCACAAAAGCAAACATACAAATAAGAAGCCTGTTTGCACCACAAAACCAGCTAAATCTCATAGAAGTGACAGTGTTGACCCATAATGCAACCTGATAATCTAAATAACATGAAAGCACATGGATAAGAAAAGCAACATAATTGCAAAAATCATACTTGATGATGTCTCAGGAAGGGCTCTTTGAGATTGATATAACTGATTTTGCAGATCCATTACGTTTTGTGATTGAAGCATGGTCCCAGGAACCTGACCTGATGCTTGAATTCTCCAATATACAATCCCAGAATTCACATATGCACAACCAAAGCTTACAATTCACATACAATCGAAAACTCAATACGATCAAAATTGGAATTTTTTTTCTTTTTTTTTACCGTTTCTTTATGAAGATTGAAAAGCCTAGGCAGCTCGAAGCGGAAGAATTTGGGAGATGAAAGAAAAATGGCCGAATTCGGAAATTAGGAGAAGAAGAGGGCTTTCAGGCACAAAGACTCAAAGTGGAGAAAGACTGAATTGATTGATGCATCAATATCTGAATTTTATTTTTTTTTGGGGTCTTTTTTTCAAATTTCTGATTTTTTTTAGTTTGGTTCGGAATAAGCTCATGGGTACAAAAAGACAATAAGACCAGTATCGTTGCAACTTTATAAGTTGCCACTTGCCACTTATCTTTGCCCTGCATCTGGGCAATCACCCACCCCAACCGGAAACTTTCGTTTCCGTCCACGGAAACCCTCCACTACGTCACCCTTTTATTTTTATGAATAACTAGCTTTTCAACATGCGTTCTAACCCACGTAAATATGGCGTATATTTTAAACTAGCCTTTTGACACTTGTCCGCCCATGCATCAATCTAAATTGTGCATTATTATTTTCATTAAATTTATACTAGTCCCTTAGGACACATGTATGAATTTTTTTGTCTAATTTTGTTTTGTTTTGTTTAATTTCAAAATGAGTTTTATAACTTTTGTTTTAATATATCCAAAATACTAGCTTCTCAAAATGCAGGACATGTTTTTCGTTTATTTTTTATTTATTTATTCTTGCATTTAATATTTTTAATTGTATAACTTTATTGCTTTATCCTTTTTAAATGAAATATTTAGTTGGGATCTTTTTCTCTCAATAGTTAGAAACTTACACTGATAAAAGGGTCGTCTTTTGTTTTACCCTAAATAATCACACTCCTTTTGTTATAAATTCATGGTTTATACGTGATCCATCTAACATTTATAAAGTTATTTAGTGTGTCGGAATTTAAGGGTGTGTAAATAAAATAGTCGTGGGTTATATATCACATTTTGGGTAGCGGTGGTTTACTCATTCCTTCTTGATTTGTAAGCTTTGGGCTAAGTTCAACCCATGAGAAAAGAGCAACTTTGCTTGTGAAACAAGAAAATACAATATAAAATATAAAATATAGGATTATTACAAGCATATAAATAAAGTGTTCCTGCTAGAGTAGGAGCATTAGAAACAGTTTAGAAATTGTTTCTTGCTCTTCTTCGACAAACACTTGAGTTTTTGAAATTTTTCATCACAAATATGTGTGCATTTTATTTAAGACCAAGTCACGAAATTTGTATATTCCACATGTCAAGGGAAGACACGATGCCGTTTCAGGTTGGAGGGGGCGGCTGTAGGTGCTGTCCATTGATACTTGGCCTCAAAGGTGAGCATCTTCAAAGAAATTCTCCGTAGGTAATCAGACTGGAAAAGGAGAACAAAACTTAGAATACATTGCATGTACTATGGAAGAAAAGAAAAAAAAATCATTAGGAACCCAGGAGTTATGGAAGTGCCTGGCTTGAGGAAGATTCATAAGTCCGTTCTTCAAACCTTTCAGCAATTCTCCTGAGTTCGTCGATTCCCTCTTGACCACTGACGAGAAGATGCCTCTTTAACGTATTAAGTCTTCACGTGCAACACAGTTAGCAACTTATTGATCATGAAGGCATGGAGGTGGAGTTCTTAACAACATGAATTCAGAGTAAAGAATCACTCCCGAAAGAGAAATATATGTGAGGGATAGATTAAGCACAAAAAATAATCCATCAGCAGATTTCACAGGGGAAAAAACCAAAGAAGAATACAGCAATGGCATTTACTAGTCCAGAAAAAAGTACATTATCTTTTAGCTTCAATATCTGAAGCACGCATTATATGGAGCCAGACCTCAGCAGTCACTAGTCCAGCATCCAAATTAGACCACAAGGAATAATTTCACTATAAAAATATCTATTCATGCAGAAAGGGTTGTATATCATTCAACCTTGTCAACTTCAATACATCCACATGAATGAACACATGTGGGTTTCATTTCATGTACGTATATGAACATGCATCTGTACAGAGTCTATTTTATGATGTCTTGGTCTGATATATATCCACCATATCTCTCAGAATGTTTTCTTTCAATTAGTGCCTCCAATTTTAAACTCACTGCTAACTTGCCTCTGCATTCAATATTGAGAATTTCAGATTGCCCTTTTATGACAAAACTAAGACAAAGCTGTCTCTGATATAAGAGCTACTAGATAGGCATGGTCAATCTTTTACTATTTATCAGCACCTCCATACAAACCCGTTTTTGGCATGAACCAAATAACACACTTAAATTGACAAAGTTAAAGAAATGAAAGAGAGAATAAAATTTGGCCCAAGTGTCATACTAAAACATCTAGTAAGACCAATTCTTTTGCACTCCCAATGCACATATAGGACCCCAGTAACGACCACTGGTGAGTGCACATGTAAGAAGAAACAAATAGCTTCAACTAAAAAGATGAGTACACACTGACAGAATCTCTAATTATTTATGGGATCCATGATTTCTAGCTTTTATTTCTTTTTAAACATACTTACATCTTGTCAACAATTCTTCGCCGTGAATCTGGCAGCAATTGGCTCCTCCAATTGCCTGCGACCATTGGCAGTTCACCACCTTGCAGAAGCCTCTCATTATGGGTATCCATCAAATCTAACCAACCAAACACACCGTCAAATAAACAGAAAATTAAATTGCAAACCAGGAAAATGGAAAGTGCAAAACAAGATGCCCAAACCTAAAAGAAGCCAAATTCAGAAACTATGGGAGCTCCACTCTAAAGTGTAACAAATTTTCTTTTGGTCGTATAAAGAGTACCATATAAAACGAGGAATAAAACTTAAGAATTAGATCAGTTTGACTGAATTGGATGTCAAAAAAAGAATCTAATGGATAAAAAGTTGGAGCAAACTTGGGGTTATTTCTATGAAGTTCCAGACATATTTTGCACGTTAGGATACAGTACTTGGGATAGGAGTCTGGGGTAAACCAGAGGCAGGAGGAATGTCATTCGGAATGTTCTGTGATAATAGTTGTTGGTGTGCTAGAGACTGATTCGCCGACAACTGCATGGAGAGTAATTGCCCTTGATAGGGGACTTGGGGTTGCACACCGAAAGAACCTGCTGAAACAAAATAGAAAAGCATAAATACCAAATGAGAAAAATTAATGACAATAATAATTGAAACAACAAAACGCCAATTCCTCAACAGAGATTGGAACACCAAAGGGAATGGTGTAATGGTGCAACTGGCTTAAAACTGAAGCAACTTAAGCAAACACACACACACACACACACACACACAAAAGCATGTTAGGGTCATCTAAACATCTCCAAGTAATAACAAGTGTAAAGACAAGAACACAATAAATGCCCTATATGTCCCTCATATTCTTCATCATTTGATCCCTTTTCTGAAAGAATATACAACAAATGAATTACAGACTTGAATGCTTACCAGCCAATATAAATATCAACAATGAATCTTTTTATATAAGAGATGTGGGAAGAAGGAAACCAGCCATCAAGAAGAAAGCTACGTATGAGTAAACATTAGCTCTCCATTTTTAAAAGCATACATGCAGGGAAACAAAAGGGATAGTTGAAAGTGTAAATGAGATCTGTGTAGGTGCATGAAACAAAAGCACATTTTTTGTCAATTTTTTTTTCACCCGGATCAGGGAGCCTGTTTCTCTTACCAGCAGAGTTGGATTGTGAAGAATTGGCCATTCTGTGTTGAGACTTTGTCTCCATAGCGAGCATCTTCAGAGAAATTTTCCGGAGATAATCCGACTGGAAAAAAGAGGTCCGCATAAAACTTAGAATGCATTGATATCCAGTATCCCCAATATAAATAACACAAAAAAGATGATATAAATGTGAGAAATTAAATAGTAGCACATATATACATATCTAAGTAGTATTAGATGCAGCAGGAAAAATAGGACCCCAAGAGTAATAGAAGTACTTGGCTGGTGGCGGCGATGTAAATCTTTTCCTCAAACCTTACAGCAATTTTCACGATTTCCTGTAATCCCTCTTGACCAGAGAAGGGAAGATGCCTCTTCAATGTATCCGTTCTTAACATGCAATGCAACACATTTAAGAAAAGTTAATGACCATCAAAGGCACGGAGGTAGAGCACTTCAAAACAAAAGTGAATTCAGGATGAATAGTAAATCAATCCACTAAATTCTTTCACTTTCATTGTTTAAAGAAGCTTACATCTTGTTGACAATTCTTTGCCGTGAATCTGGCTGCAGATGACTCCTCCAATCCCCTGCATCAATTGGTGGTTCTCCAACTTGAGGAGGCCTCCAATTATTGTTATCCATCAAATCTAACCAACCCAAAACAAAAACTGTCAAACAAAACCAAAAAAAGAATTGAGTAGCAAGTTCGATGAAAATTTTTGTAAAAAAGCAGCTAACTTTGAACGATGATGGTGATTGTAAAGCATAGCTTTTGTCACGAAACTCTCTCCACTACACTATTCCTAGAGTCACATACGCAAAAATCCAAATAACGAAGCTTGCAATTCACATTCTATCGGAAACCCAACAAAAATTACGAAAATCTGAGCGATGAATGAAAAACCATAATCGACCAACTTTAACGGAAGTGACAAGGAAAATTAACCACAAAAAATCAGAGAACAAAATTTTACCGTTTTCTTCCAAGGGACTGGTTCGACTGGAACTGGAAGTGGAGCAATTCGGACTTGAAGAGAAAAGCTTAAAGTAGGAGAAGACGGGAACTTCAATAGTCAATTGGATAGAAACGGGTTGGGTTGCTTCAGAATTAAGTCTTCTAAACAATGAAATTCTCGTTTCATGTTTTGACCAAACACACAAGCAAACAAAATAGGCAATGAAATTGTCGTGACAACTTACAACCCAGCCGATATTTATTTTTGATAGGTACCTGAGAAAAAATATTTATATTTTGTGTTTTTTATCTGGGTAGGCTGCCTGGGCTCATATGTTTTTTAGAGTGATAGTGGCAACCGCATTTACCTCTACCATCCAAAGTGATAGATTAGATTTGATTCCCTGTTGACCCTATATCCCTTGTATTTTTTAAAAAAGAACATTTTAATCATGTGTGTTAACAGTAATTGAGTTCGAATTTCTATTGAAATTATTTTTTAAAGTATCCAAAGTTAGTTGGAATTATATTGATGACCTATAAGTCGTTCACTACGTTTTTGGTTACAAAATTGGTCTTGTTTTAATGGTCTTTTTGTGTGATCTTAGGTTTGGCTCCCCTTTGGGCCTTTGTAGG